GACAAGGAGCTACTGGCTATTGTCGTTGCCTTTGAGCAGTGGCGAGTATATCTTGAGGGATCCACCTACCCTGTGCAGGTATGGACGGATCACAAGAACCTCATATACTTCACCACGACCAAGGTTTTAAACCGCAGACAAGTCCGCTGGGCAGAAACCCTCGCAGCCTACAACTTCACGATAACCTATCGCAAGGGCTCCGAGAATGCAAGAGCAGACGCTCTCAGCAGACGGACTGACTACGCTGGCCCAAAGGAAGAAAGACCTAGAGCAATTCTGAAGAAAACAGATGCAGGAATACAGTACAACGAGTTACTAGCGACGATCTCAGTCATCGAAGATACAGAACTCGAGGAAAGACTCAAGAAAGCTTACGCAACAGACGAATGCGCCAAGCGAGTCTTGTCCAAAGTTGAAGGCGACTTCGCCATCGACGAACAAGGATTGATTCGATACAAAGGGTTAGTGTATGTCCCAAGTCAAATGAGACGCCCGCTGGTGCAAGAACAACACTCGTTACCAGCACACGGTCATCAGGGAGTAACGCGAACCTTCGAACGAATCACTCGACACTACTACTTCCCAGGTATGAGGAAGCAGGTAGAGACAGTGGTAAGAGAGTGCGACATTTGCAGCAAGTCAAAATCCAATAGGCATCTGCCATACGGACAACTCAAGTCGACACCAGTACCAAAAGGAGCATGGAAATCAATAGCTTTGGACTTCGTCGTCAAGCTTCCACCCTCCAAGGACCCGTTAACAGGAATAGAATACGACTCTATCCTCGTCATCACGGAAAGACTCACGAAATATGGGAAGTTTATACCATATCTAGAAGCTAGCGACGCCGAGGCGCTCGCATATACCTTCATTCGAGTCATATTAGCCGATCATGGGATGCCAGAAGAAATCATCTCAGATAGAGACAAGCTCTTTACTTCGAAATTCTGGAAATCATTGATGGCGCTACTGGGAACAAATCATAAGCTGTCAACAGCTTTTCATCCCCAGACAGACGGCCAAACAGAAAGATTAAACCAGACCCTTGAACAGTACCTGCGAAGCTATGTCAATTATCAACAGGATAACTGGGTTCAGATCTTACCCATCGCACAGTTTGCATATAACAGCGCGATGACAGAAGCAACGAAACTCTCACCGTTCTTTGCCAATTATGGCTAGCAACCAGAAGCATATAGGCAACCAAGACCGGATGAATCACGAGCTGAACAAGCCCTGATCGTGGTGGAACAACTTAAATCGTTCCACGAACAACTTGCGACGGACATCCAATTCTTAAATGAACGATCCGCCGCATACGCAAACAAGAAGCGCAGTATGGAACCTGCCTTCAAGAAGGGGGATAAAGTATACCTACTCCGGAAACATATCAAAACGAAACGACCAAGCACAAAGTTGGACTTCAAGAAATTGGGACCATTCAAAATATTGAACAAAGTCAGCTCAGTTAATTACAGACTGCAGCTACCCAAGAAGTCTAGACTACACCCGGTATTTCATGTCTCACTACTGGAACCAGCAAGAGGAAATACCCCAATTGCGACCGACACCGAACTCCAACCCGAGAATGAGATAATCGAATATGAGGTCGAAGCGATCCTAGACAGAAGGTTAGTAGGACGTCGAGAAGAGTTTTTGATAAAATGGGAAAATTACGAACCTACGGATAATTCGTGGGAACCAACAAGAAACATCAGCAAAGAACTGCTGGAGGAATATCGACGCCGCCATCCGCCAGCCATTGATCCCAAGATGCAGGGGAGTAGGCCAGTGGATCGGAGGAAGCGGGGGTCCCGGTCACAGACGAGGAGGCAGCGCTAACTGCCTGTTCCTCGGCCTCAACAGCGTCACGCTTCTCAGCAGCCACACGTTCGGCCTCCTCTGCCGCATCAAGCTCGTCGAGGGTTTTCAAACCTCGCTGGAGCATATCTTTACCACGGGTTCGGATGAGGCGTTTCTGCTTCCGCAGACGAAGTAACTTCGAAAGGGTTTCTTCCTCTTCGCGATCCAGGCGATCCTCCTCCCGTTCGAGCTTCACCCAGTCGGGATGCTCAGGACCCATACAGTCACACTTTTCTTTCAAGTTGCGACGAACGCACTCGGCGCACCGCCGTGAATCATTTGGAGACGACACGCAAGTAACGTTTCGCCTCACGCAGTTCGAGCAAGAATCCATTTCGGGTAGTTCGTATCCGTGGTTCTTTATTCGACGGACAAGATCATTGCGTTCCTGGAGTTTGCGGGCAGTGTCAGTAGGCATGTTGCATGTTGAAGGACTCGCTGAGGAGCAGCAGAGTCCCGGGGACATGGACGTACTTATAGGATTCGAGACGAATGCCCAGGGGAAGGGAGCGAGTGTTACGACGGAACAAGAAGGCTGGCCAACTACAGGACAGGAAGGAGGGAGGTCGCATGAGACCGGCCCTGGTACCTGGAGGGGCAGCGGGGAATAGTAGTTCCGAAAGTATCACGTGACGGACTCGCAGGATGATGAGAAGAGTCCTAAGAGTCCAGGACTCCGAGGACTCGAGTGAGTTCCCAGGAGTCCACTAGGCACGTGACGGACTCGCAGGATGATGAGAAGAGTCCTAAGAGTCCAGGACTCCGAGGACTCAAGTGAGTTCCCAAGAGTCCACTAGGCACGATGCCACTATATAAGTAGATAGTATTTCCTTAGATAGGAGCTTCGTGCTCAACTCAATACAGTATTTGTTATATACTAGTAACGTGTTACTTGAAGCCTTTGTGTCTGATCCCCTGCCTCCTCTGATAAGTAAACCTTTACGCAAGAGAACCTCTGTGTCTTCTATCGTTTAGAAGTCAGTGTTACATCGTGGCGTAACCGGGAGAATGGCGTAAATGGGATAGTGGGGAATATTGAGCATCAAGAGTATCACCAAACCAATGTAAACCCCCAACATGGTGCGAAAGCGTAGTCAGAAAGCCGAAGAACTAGAAGTTTTATTGGCACAAGCTGTTGCTGGAGTTAAATCCGGATTATACAAATCTTCGTACAGTGCTGCAAAGGCTTTACACCTTCGGCCAGACACAGTCCTTCAACGCGTTAATGGGAAACTGTCATGGAGAGAAGCTCGACAACAACAACAACTGCTATCGCCAGCGCAAGAGCAGACACTTTTAAAGTGGATTAAGGTGCTAACAATTAGTGGATATGCTCCTAGTCACCGTATATTGCGGGATATTGCTGACGAAATCTGTGTCAACCGATGCCGTGTTTTCGAACTGTCGCACCCTAACAGTCAACATGCCCAACACACTCATCACGAAGAGATTCCGAACTTTCCCCTTGGACAAGACTGGGTCCCACGGTTTATAAAACGACATCCGTATTTACAAGTCCAACTAGGCAGACGGGTCGAAGCACAAAGAATGAGTGGAGTTACAAAAGATGTGTTAACGGGGTGGTTTGACGCGTACAAGGACCTTGTGGCACGTCTAGGAATACAAGAACACAACATGTATAACATGGATGAAACTGGATTTTCGATTGGCACTATGGAGTGTACTCGGATCATCGTTGATTCTACACTCCGTACATGTCACCAGGCACACCAAGGCCGGCAGGAATGGGTGTCTGCTGTTGAATGCATCTGTATGGATGGAACGACCATTAACCCTCTTATTATATTCAAGGGTCGGAACGTCTTACAAAACTGGATCCCTCCTGAGGTTATTGATAAATGGCACTTCTCTGCTAATACAAAGGGTTGGACAAGCAACTTACATGGCATCGAGTGGTTAAAACGCGTGTTTGAACCAGCAACGCATGCGAAAGCGACATCTAATGGAGCACAACAACAACGGTTACTCATATGCGATGGCCACGACAGTCATATAAGTAGAGGCTTTATATCCCATTGTATGCAAAATCGAATATCTATCCTTGTCCTCCCACCGCACACTTCCCATGTGTTGCAACCACTCGATGTTGCAGTCTTCGGACCATTGAAAAAACATCTCACAAGTGCGCTCTCACATTTGAATGAAGCGCAACTTACACGCATACAAAAAGCAGAATGGTTATCTGCATACATCAAAGCGAGAGCAATTGCGCTATTTACTCATAATATTACATCTGCGTGGAGGGGTGCTGGTCTACAACCTTTCCAACCTCAACGGGTGATCCGGATGGTGACGCTCCAACAGACAGATGTGACAGATGATCGACCAAAAACACCAACTGAGTACGATATTTTTGACAATGTCTTTCAGAACAGTAGTCCACCCGACTGTTCTACATTGCGCAAAGCGAACACTGTCCTGGTTGCGGCCTTAGAGACGCGTACAGTCCTAAACACACCCACTACTCGATATATCCGTCGGTTGGCTGATGAGACTGAGCGACTTAATACACGCAACTTCTTACACCAACGCGAGGCAGATAACCTACGATCGATAATACAAACACGGAGAGCACAGAGCAAAGGGAAACGCGCAATTTTAAAGGGCCAATTCCACATAACTACAGAGGAATTACGCTCCCAAGTCATTGAGGCCGAGGAGGCCACCCAGAAAGCGACTACCAAAGGCAAGAGTACAGCGACAAATATCACTGTACCTGACCAAACCGAGAATGTCGAGGAGGATGAGAACCCAGAAGAAGTATATGGCTGCATTATAGTTGAATACTAAAGTAATAATACTCTACTTTTCGCTTTCTTCGTGGTCGGTCTTCCCCCACTATCCCGTTTACGCCATTCTCCCGGTTACGCCACGACTTACGTTAGTGTTTTACTCGCTTGGGTGTTTCACTCGCATATGATCGCGTTCTCGGCTAGCTCCAATGCCTTCTGCAAAATCCCCATAGTAGCTTGGACCATCATCATCATCGCCAAACCAGACTTGGGCAGCGAACTGAGTGTCCATCCCTTAGTTTCTCTGGCAAATTGCCATGCTCCGAAATAGCTCATAGAGCTTCTTTGCCCGACTTCTTCAACGCAGCCCGCTCAACAACCGCTATGCCCGCCTCGCACACCCTCTTGCGGACCTTGGAGCGCGGCACCTCGGGGCCCCAGCGATGTCTGCGCCGCACAGCTACACAGCTCCAGAGACGACATGTATCGGACTCCAATACCCCCAAGTCGAACCTAGGCTCCTCGAAGCCTCTCCCTGGCACTACTCCGCCGCCAGCGGCGCCGAGAGAGAGCCTGCCGAGCCAGGCTGAGACGCATGGAGCTTTCAGGAGCCAATTGTATGACAGCACGGCGGCGCGCACGGCGAAGGAGCGTATGGACCGGGAGAGACATGCACATGAGCGGCAGGAATGGGCTGGTGGGAGGAATCTGGCGACTACGTTTGGTGAGTGCTGCTGTGGGCTTACTGTGCAGCTGCCCTTGACGCATGGCTGGGGCAGGAAGCAGAGGCATTGAAGAAGACCATTGCTAACGTGGGAGTATAGTTATCCTCGCCTCCTCCTTAGTATGCTACTACATGGGCACCAAGAACCCAGCTCCTGCATCGCCTACCTCCACACTCCCTCTTGCCGCGACGAAGCCACCGAAACACAATATTGCGCCTACAAACGTCGAAGCCGCCTGGGCGGATTTCGTCGCCATTGTTGGGAAGGATAACGTCAATACCACACAGGATGATGTTGTCTCTCACGCCGGTTCTGAATGGTCTTCGCATCTCCGCAAGGGCTCCGAGAAGCCATTCCTTGTCGTTTATCCCACCACCACCCAGGAAGTTAGCGGGATCATGAAGGTCTGCCACCTGAGGAGAATCCCCGTAACGGCTTATTCTGGCGGAACATCTCTGGAAGGACACTATACGGCTACTCGTGGGGGGATCTGCATCGATTTCGGACGAATGGATAAGATCCTGCAGCTTCACGAGAAAGACATGGATGTTGTTGTTCAGCCGGCAGTTGGATGGGAGTATCTGAACGAAGTCCTTGCTGAATCGAACCTCTTCTTCCCACCGGACCCAGGACCAGGCGCCATGATTGGCGGTATGGTCGGAACTGGCTGCTCTGGAACGAACGCTTATAGATATGGTACCATGCGTGAATGGGTTCTCTCCCTGACCGTCGTATTGGCCGATGGAACTGTTATCAAGACGCGCCAACGTCCGCGCAAGTCGAGCGCCGGCTATGACCTCACCAAGCTGTTCATTGGCAGTGAGGGAACTCTAGGTCTCGTCACTGAAGCAACGCTGAAGATAACGACGAAGCCAATTGCCACCTCTGTCGCCGTCTGCGCCTTCCCATCCATCCGTGACGCCGCCGAGTGCGTCTCCCGAGTCGTCGGTGACGGAATCCCCATCGCAGCTATCGAAATCCTCGACGACGTTCAGATGAAGTGCATCAACGCATCCGGCACCACCTCGCGCACCTGGGCCGAAGAGCCAACACTCTTCTTCAAATTCGCAGGCACTGAGAGCGCGTGCAAGGAGCAAGTACAAATGGTACAGCAGATCGCAAACAAACACCGCGCCAAGACCTTTGAGTTCGCGCGCGATGAGCAGGAGAAGACGGATCTGTGGTCCGCGCGCAAGGAGGCGCTATGGAGCGTCATGGCTCTGAAGCGCGATGACAGCGACCACGTGTGGACCGGCGACGTGGCGGTGCCGATTAGCAGGCTGCCGGATATCATTGAGGAGACGAAGGATGACTTGTCGGAGATCGGGCTGCTGGCTGCGATTGTGGGGCACGTTGGTGACGGTAACTTCCATACAATCCTGATCTATAATGATGCGGAGCGCAAGAAGGCTGAGGCGTTTGTGCATCGCATGGTGAAGAGGGCGGTGGAGATGGAGGGGACCGTGACGGGAGAGCATGGGGTGGGACTGGTGAAGAGGGATTACTTGGATCATGAGCTGGGGGCGACGACTGTAGATGCTATGCGCAAGGTACGTTTATCTCTCTCTCTCGGCCGACGATTGTTTTGCTAACGACTTATGCGTAGATTAAACTTGCCTTAGACCCGCTGTGCCTTCTGAACAGCGACAAGGTTGTTAGGGTTGAGAAGCCAAAATCTAGCGAGATGTTGGTTTGGTAGAATCGTAGGTGAGCAAGAATGTACAGTACAACATCTATGTAATTATATACTATGGCATCTATCTACAGGTTTTCTCCACGAGTTCATAGCGTGATATTATCGGGGTGTTACTTTTTAGTAGCATCTTCAATATCCCAGCAAATTGTGACAGCACATGTGTTTGCCAATAGCACAGTACTAGTTTGGCTTGTTTAACTACTTTGACAATTTCTTTGGCTGCTTGACCGCTTAAAGTACTTCAAAGCCGTTTAGAGAGAGGCTAGGTGGCCGAGGATATCAATGCGAGATCAACCCACGGCGTAAAGCCTCTTCCTTGACTTCCTCTACCCATTCCCCGTGGCGACGTAGCGATTTGGTCGGATCCTTTCGTAATATTCATCTAGGCAGCAGGCGGACGAATCGATCGGCATAGTTCATCTAATTCTGCCGACTGCTAGGGTTAGCACAAATACTCATGATACTCATAAGTTACTTAAGTTGCTCAAATACTCATAACGTTCAAACGACGACTGATGGTGAAACTGCCGCTACTCCCCCTACGACATAAGATGGTTAGCTTGAATCAAGAGAAGTTGCCAACGATGGCACCGAAAGAGAAGCTCAGCTCGAAGAAGGACAGAAAGGGGGATGCGTACTGGTTTGAAGCTGCGCCACTTGTCACATGAATCTTGTCAGCAAACAGCATCACCAAGGGATTATGGAACGGCTTTGGCTCGTTTACAGATACGCCCAATGAATTTTGGGAGTCGGACCTGGCTGTGTTCCTTACGGACAACTTGTGGTGCACAAGTTACCTTTGCAGATGGATCCCTTATCATATGCTCTGACTTTGTCCAGTACAAGTCAACGGAAAGGGGTAGTATCAGAATTGGTCGCGTGTATGGGATTGGATTTGACAAGAGATCAGCACCAATCGAGAAGAACGGGATCATTATCAAGATCCAAAAAGTTTACTCAGCTATGGAATTGCCGCCAAAGGCCCAAGATATTAGGTCTCAGCTTTCTATCCCGCTTTCTCAATCTGAGAAGCTTAGAGGATGAGTTTGAGTTTGTCCCAGTACACTGCCTAATTCAACGGCTTGAATATACCATGAACTACAAATTCGAGAATGGGATACCAGGTCAAGCATCAAATGGAAGATCTGTCGAATGGACTTTGATACAGCGGGAGTGCGTTAATGCTTCGCTCCGGCTTCTCCTCCAAGGTGCCTTTGAGCACACAGATCCAGAGATATCGATGAGGATTAAGATCCTCCACAAAAGGTGCCCTGGCCTCATGAGCCATATCCTGCCTTCTCTTGAGCAGCCGGACATAGTCGAAGAGATGGCTCCTGATGTCCTCCTAGATGCAAAACACATCCGGCCAAGAGCTACACGTTGTGTTTCGCGGGCCTTTGTTAAAAACGAGCTTGACCTGCCGCTGTATATCAAAGGCATCCCAGAACACCATCCGTTTGTTTGCCAGCTCCGGGAGGCATACTCCAAAGATTATCAAATGCCATACATCACAAGTCTTGGCGATATGGCAGTTGAGTGGTTTAGCCAGCTTGGCTTTACAGATCCGTAAGTGTTTCCTCCCATCGTTTTATCCATAGTAGCTAATGTAAAATGAAAACAGAGTGTCCCAGCGCCGCATCAATTTCGAGGCCGGAAACTCTTTCGTTGCTCGTGGCAGTACTATTTGCCGCTTCAACCTCGGCTTCATACATGAGCGAATCCCAGGTGAGAAACGCCTCTTTGTCATTGTTACTGAATTAGAAGATTGCGGTGAAAAGGACAAGATGGTTATGCTACCGTTAATGAAGATCAAGGACTCAACCCAGATCATCGTTGGCCTCCCAGCAATTGGCAGCAAGCCACTTTATATTATCGACACAGATTCGACAAGAAGGAACGAGCCGGCGCCATTTGCAAAGGGCAGCTTGAGATTGAATAACACAGCAGGCCATTCAGAGCCATATGCCTCAGATATGCCAAACCATTCACCGGAGCTGATTTACTGTTGGTGGAACATTGGGTTGATGTAGGCATGGAGCACCGGTGGCATGGGGATACTTCAAGGATATCAGCAGTTTTACAGACTGGAAGTGAATTTGTAGATACAAAAATGAATTCAATTATCTGTCTAACTATGTATTCTTATTTACTGTAGGTGATGCTGATTCTGATGCTCTAAAGATGCCTCAGCCTAAATAGGAAATGTGTACTTGCCATTTTGGGCTGGTTCCCGCACTCACACTCGGAGTGAAGGCTGCCTCACCTCCAGCTCACGATCTGTCTTTGAATCAACCTTCATTGAAGGTTTGATCTGCCATCAGAGTTGGCATTAATTGGGTAAGATCAGGTAAGTCAATTTCACCTGAACAAATATTCCAATTCGAAAAGCTGGCTGGAAGCTTGCTTTCAAGCTTCATTTCGGGACTCTCTAGACCTGTTAAAACATCGGCCAACCTCACCCAACCTTGGCCAAGGCATTTCAAGCATCTTCAAACCTTACTAAAGCTTCTCTAGGCATTTCTAAAGCTCACCAGACCTCTTCCACCCTCATCGGCCATCACAAAACTTCTTCTGCCCGCTCTAACTATCACCAGGCCTCTTCTGCCCTCTCCAGCCATCACCAAACCACCCCAACCATCACCAGGCCTCTTCTGCCCTCACCGGCCATCACCAAACCTCTCTAAATCCTACCATCGCCAGACCTCCTACCATCACCAGCCATCACCAAACCACTCCAGCCATCGCCAGATCCCTCCAGCCATCACCAGCCATCACCTCCAGGCATTGGCTGCCATGAAGAAACCTCCCCTATAGGCAAGCTCGCCGAGCTGCCCATCACCAAACATCTCCAATCCTTTGCCTGCATCGCCAAAACATCCCAGCTAGAAAGCTCGCTAAGCTGTCTATCTTGTGTCCTCTCTGGCATTGCCTCTCTCAAGTAAGTCATCTGTTCTCCCACTGAATTGCCTTGATTCTCCAGACCCAAGACAAGCACCCTCAGTTGCCTTTAACACCGGCTATGAGCCTCCCCGGACGCCCTAGATTATGCCGCCATACTCCCCAGCCTCTCCCAGGATGCCTCAAATCAGAAGCACTTGCGCACCTCATCGTTCTGTATACTGATTTATGCGCCAATTCAGGATTTGTATGGGAGTTTGAGGGTCCAAAAGGGGGGGCCTTCGGATTTTTGAAAAAACGGCAATAGCATTTCTTGACCCCCATTTTGGCTCTGTTTTCGACCTTTTGCTATGCCAGCACTATGGAGCTGTTTTCGGGCGACAGTCATAGGTGGCACATACCTACGTATCACATCACATATAAGTCTTGCCTTTTCCTTTGGCGTTTTCATTCTGCAAACTTCAGTGTCCCTAGTTGCTGCCACTTGTGGGTTGAAGATTCGCGTTTGGAATACCTTAATCCATTTCCTTCTTCTCTCTCTCTGTTCTTTGCACGGAGTTTAATATGGCTGGACGCATGCTTTGCTCTGACTTGAATGTGTGTTTCTACATGTTCGTTTTTACTCTCCTCTCTCATACCTTAATCCATTTCCTTCTTCTCTCTCTCTGTTCTTTGCACGGAGTTTAATATGGCTGGACGCATGCTTTGCTCTGACTTGAATGTGTGTTTCTACATGTTCGTTTTTACTCTCCTCTCTCCTCTCTCATACCTTAATCCATTTCCTTCTTCTCTCTCTCTGTTCTTTGCACGGAGTTTAATATGGCTGGACGCATGCTTTGCTCTGACTTGAATGTGTGTTTCTACATGTTCGTTTTTACTCTCCTCTCTCCTCTCTCATACCTTAATCCATTTCCTTCTTCTCTCTCTCTGTTCTTTGCACGGAGTTTAATATGGCTGGACGCATGCTTTGCTCTGACTTGAATGTGTGTTTCTACATGTTCGTTTTTACTCTCCTCTCTCCTCTCTCCTCTTGTTTCCTTTTTCCTTTCCTTTCCTTTCCTTTCCTTTCCTTTCCTTTCCTTTCCTTTCCTTTCCTTTCCTTTCCTTTCCTTTCCTTTCCTTTCCTTTCCTTTCCTTTCCTTTCCTTTCCTTTCCTTTCCTTTCCTTTCCTTTCCTTTCCTTTCCTTTCCTTTCCTTTCCTTTCCTTTCCTTTCCTTTCCTTGATACAGCTGCGACATCCGCTAACTAGGCAAGCTCCAGCAACTCCATTCTTCAAGGGTAAGCCCAAATTCCCCCATTCTTCTTATTGCACGGTGAACAGTTGAAGTGGACTAACCCGCTTCAACTGGCAACAAACGGTGAGCTTCCCATCCTCCCCCCACCCACAGCCATTGATTACTATCTAACTTGGTGTATCTTACACAGGAATTACATGTTAAAATGGCAGAACGTTGCCGCAGAGCTCGACACTGTGCAAGCGTAGCACACAAACGACCTTTAGACTCAACACTTGGTAGCCGGCTACCTTTTTCGACAAACGAACGACACTTGGCCGCTGGCCTACATACACAAGGGGGACAAGGATGGATACGACCTAGCAACGGTCTGAAAGAGCTTGGAACATATGACCTAGGGTAATTTGGGGTCAACCGGGGGGGTGGCAGGAGTAGGCTGCGCACTGGGTACTCACGAGTCGAGTAGTAGAATTTTTACTCACCCAGCTGAGTTACTCGCTCATGTCCCGAGTATTGTTGAATGAGGATTACTCACTTGCTGAGTACCTAGTATGGGTCTTGGCAACTCAGTTATATCACGTGTTTGATTAGCCATTACTTATGTTAAAAACGGGGTGCGACTTCATTGATCAAGACGCCATAACTCCAACTCCATTCCCATATTGTTGATGTCCTATTCCACACTATAACCTTTGGCCTTTAGGTACCAGGTTACCAGATGGTTACCAGAACTCATCTGACCTTCATTCCTGGGTGAGAGACATTTCCATCGATTAAGCCCACAGCTTAAACATCATATCCTGCAAACGCCGAACCAATATCATACCCTTTGCCTGAATTGTCACTCTCTTCGCATGAATAGCGAGGAGGTTTGTCACTATAACTGTTAGTATGTCCCTGTCACTATGTTTAAACATCATACTCTCAAATTCTCGAATGAGGAAGCATTCAGCAGCTTCCTAAAGAGCTAGGATAGCAGATTGCTGGAAGCGAAGATTGGACTTGAAGTCTTCTGTGATTTCCCTAACAAGACGCTGGAATGGGAGCTAGTATCAAGTTGCTGTCTTCTGATATCGCGGAGAGCCTTGGTGCCTATATGTTTATTAGAGAGTTCTGGTAACCCTCTGGTAATCCTCTGGTAATCCTCTTACTAGACTTTGTGCAGCGCGTGGCCTTCTGAGCATGATTGTTGCTAGCTTGAGATGAGCAAACTGGAGCTTTTCTTGCTGTGCCCACAGCCTTTTCCTGTCCCTTTCCGCCAAGCCCAGAGCCAGCCCGTAATCCAAGTGGCATCCTTGGTGCTATGCCGCCAGTTGATCTCCTAGCAGTTTGCTTGGTACGAGTCATTTGCTAATATCAAGGTGAGTTAGTAAAGTAAACACAAGATAAAGAAGTAGATCAAAAGATATGTGTACTTACAGTGAGTTTGTAGAAAGAATATTGCAGAAGAAGAGTATAGTAAAGAGGTAGAGGTTGAAAGGTATGTGTTTTATATGAAGGTGCGCATTGTGGTGTTGTTTTTGGAACAGTAATTCTTTGTAGGTGAATATTCCTTCACAAATATTTTTGTTTGCAACTTTAAAATAACCACGACCTTAGAACCACCTTCCTTGGTTACTCTCCGATCTACACATTCTTCTTCCCTTTTGAGCCTTTACCTCTTCACTAGGACTTCAACTAAGTTTATTATCTTGATTCTATAGCCAGAACTTCTGGAGATCTCTGCTAATCACATGTTTAGTTAGTATGGCGAAACTCAAGGCACATGAAGAACTCTCCACTAATGCGAATACTATCAAAGCTCGCAACTGCGTCTCCAACCTTACTGAAGACGAGAAGGCTGTTCACTTAGCACTCAAGGCTGACCATGCTGATCTGAGCTACTACTTAAAGAAGTTATATAAGTCTGCAAAGTGTAAGGATGCCTCCTTACCTAGATACTCGAAGAACCCGCCTCAGAGCTGTTACGGTCACCACAAGCATGAAATCCGACTCGGTGTGGTTTCGGACCAGTAGAGGAGGACATAGCGAGTTACACTATAGTGGGGGACAGTAAGGGTGTAGGGTTCAGGGTCGATGCGGACCTGTTGCGGTGGAAGGTTCAGGGCTAGGGTTGGGATAACCGAGTCGGGCCCGTTTCGGGTACTTAAGGAAACAAACTTAACGGGGTTCCCCCTTCATCTTTTTTGTATCCTTCGTAGTAGACCTATAGGATAGCATCCTTTTAGCCTCCAACTCGCACTCTCATATGCTATTACTGTGAGCTGGGTGCCCTGTGTCATTACACAAAGTATATCGCTGCCTCTACTGAAGACAAGACACGTCTACAGAATGAATTGAAGGTTGAGCGTATTTGTGTTCGGTAAGTTCCTTCTGGTAATCTCTGGTAGCCTCAATCTAACTATAAACAGGACTGAGAAGGGTACCCATGCATCTTGCATTGCGAATCAGAAAGTCAAGAATATTAGCGCCTCTTCTTCTCCACAAGCCCCACCATCTACTCCGCCCAAACAACTTCTGTCTGAGCTTGCTGCATTTGAGGGTATCTCAAGTATTCCAATCGATGACAATCATAACAGCGAATGGGAGGATACTGAGGTTGAAGACGATTTGGAGTTGGAGCTTATGTTACAGCGCGAGATATTTTAAATGACGAGGCTGTTCTACCAGATGAGCTTTCCGATGAAGAGATCACTAGCACCCAGGCTCTCTTAACTCAAGCGCACATTGATGTATGCTACCTCATAATCTGGTAATCTTCTGGTGATACTAATAGTTGATAGGCCCATGAAGAGTCCAATTTCCGCAAGTGGCAACATTTCTGGGATAGCTGTATCCACTCATATACGAGAAAGGCTGGAAAGCTGAGAAAGAAGCCTGAGCGTCTCTTTGAGTATATGCCGTGGATTGATGTAGAGGAAGGGTACGTCTCTGATCATCCTAGCAATCTTCTGGCAATACTAATTGTTTATTATAGCACTTTTCACGAGGTTATCCCACCACATAAATATTTCTGTTTGTACGAGCAGGCAGTTTGGAAAGTGGGCCTAATTACCAGGACCTGTGCAGTGGTACCCAAAGTCTTACAATCTTGTCGACAATGGATGGTTGCAAATATCCACTCATAGTTCTAGCTTCAAAGAGGCGTTCTTACTTGTCTACTCTAAGAAGTTTGATAAGGAAAAGTGGGCTAAGGTATCAGCTGCACAGGATATGTTGTTCCTGGAGCTAGAGTAGAGGAGAACTTGAGTTGCTAAAGTTATAGCGCTGGAGTACCTTTCGCGTTGGAAAACCAGGTATTTAAGTACTTCATCGTAGCCAGACTTCTGGTAACCTTCTGATAATCGAGCAATTTGCCAAATGCCATCTCAATACTCAGAGTTGTTTGATTCTGACAGTATTCTCAGACTCTATTCCGTCTTCTCAACGACTATCCTCATTAAATCAAGTCTGTAAGGACACAGGGCACCCAGCTCACAGTAATAGCATATGAGAGTGCGAGTCAGAGGCTAAACGGATGCTATCCTATAGGTCTACTACGAAGGATACAAAAAAGATGAAGAGAGGAACCCCCGTTGGGTCAATCTCCTTAAGTACCCGAAACGGGTCCGACTCAGCTAACCTGCCTTAACTCTTATCATGTGACCGTAACCTGCCCGACTCAGATCCTTTCCATCACTGAGGGACAGGCATCCTTACAAAGTCCCTGCAGGCCTTGAATATATTGGCAAGTTAAACCAATTCGTCAAATGGACTAAGGATACACACGATATATTCATTGAGTGGTGGAAGCTATCACGATGGTATGAACAACACTCAGATCATACTACAAAACTCCTTATGAAGATTGCATGGGATTCAACCAACTGGAGTTCTCAATACTGGAGAAGTTATCACCAAGGAGCAGACCGGCTTTCTGGAGAACCATGTGTTATTTGTACTTATTGTTCGAAGGCCCTTACGCATCCTGCAATCAAGTCTGCTGGCCCAAAGTCTATGGCAACACATCTTGCATCAGACATTTGCAAAAAGAAGTCACAGATGGGAAGGATAGTCTCTATCAAATGCGAATCAATCAAATGCAACCTCAACAAGTAAGGATTACCAGATTATTACCAGAATTATGTAGGTTAATACCTATAATAAGATCATATTCTCACACAAGAGACATTTTATGAACAAGTTCTATACACAGTTATCTTGACTCATAGCTCGTTCCGCTCAGTCGAGGATCCTCATCAAGACCCTATAAATACTTTAGGTATTAGTAGGTCTGGCCGGCCTCATCAAGCAAGGTGGAGGGATGTTCTTAAGCATATATAATAGATAATAGCGTTCTAATAATCTTCTGATAATCATGGTACTTAGATAGAGGAATATACATGATTCGTTCTCACAGCTTACTAGAGATGGCGAGAGTGATGCTAATAGATGTAATACTTTAACTTAACCATAAAACAGTATTAATCGTATGAGGGACTGTTCACATGATGCATAAATCTTACACGTGATAGCCGAGTACTCACCGGGTTTTTACAGAGTAACTGAGTATTGACCTCACTCACCGAGTCGAGTAAAAGGTTCAGCTACTCACCCAGCTGAGTAACCCACTGAGCGAGTGAGCCGAGTATTGAGCGAGTAGTGCGCAGCCTAGGCAGGAGTACTGGGCGAGAGCTGTGATGGGAGCTTTTGGCAGTCGCTCGATGGCACCGATCAAACGTGGCATCACAGCCTAGGCAAGGGGGGCAGTAGAATGGCAGAAGATACTGGATAGATAGCTTCATGTAGTAAATATAATGGTTTCTGTGAAGAATATCTGTTTCTGACCTTGTAGACCATGATCTTGCCGCCACCAATGTTGCCCAAGTTCCATTATGCTACCGCTATGGCCAGTTTTACCACTCTTGGGCCAAATTAAGGTGGTGATGCGGGTATATCGTCATCCACCGGCCACATACATCTACAGTAAATCATAGAATCATTCTATTTACTGTATATATCTATATAACCTCAATTCCACTGCTCCCGTACAGACCGCCTGAACCGTTCTTCTCGAAAACTGGGAGCTATGACCAACCGTAGAATATTAGTAAGCCACCCCTCTTTTCCGGGCACCCGTATTCTCGAAAAAACCATCGAAATACGGGTGTGGTACCCTTATTTCAAATGCTGTAATTCCCGGTAAGGTAATCAATCAAACAAAACAAAGGAAAAGGAAGGAATTGAACTTACCGGTGGCTTTGAGGCCAGAAGCCTTGGTGGTGGGGGTGGTGGTGGTGGCCATCGCGTTGTTGAAGAAGAAGGAAAGGTTGGTGGGGGGTTGTGGAAATATTCGCGTTTGACGCGTTGGGGTCACGTGACCAACGCCCAATCACGTGCTTTAGTGGCTTCACGGCAGGCTGCTTACAAACCGGCGCCCACGGCGCCGGTCGACAATACTCGTAAGAAGAAAGGAAAAGTACGAAGAGGAATAAGGCAAGTAGAAAGAGGGGTATTCTTACTATGAATCACTTCTTATCAAGTCTATTCTATAGCTATTCTTCCCTACTATGAATCACTTTATCAATTTGGCCCGTTTTATGATTCTGGGGTTGCTGGAGCGGTTTGTTGGTTGGGGTTTACTTACGTAACCGCTTACAAATCCAGGGGTGTCCGTGATGTCGTTCGCTTAGTATTCGGACACCGGTGTCCGTATACTGGAACTCATTCGAAGACGCGAAATCGCTTAGTCATCAATAATCCAGCAATCTCACCTAGCCTTGTCCAACGAGGCTACTGATTTGACGGCGCGCATTTACCCTAGCTTCCGAAAAGGACAGCATCATCCAAGCTCCCCCTCTATCCTCCACAACCAGAGTTCCTTTCTGAGACATGAATGTGTGATTTTCTATGTAATATTTGTTTTGCGTTGATACCCCTCTAGCTGCGCTGCTCCTCTCACCATGGCGAAAGACTACAAAACCCTGAAAGAAGACTTCGTGTCGAACCTCACGGGCGGGTCAATCGGTGATATTATCGCAGTCACAGCTGTTGTTCCTGTATGCCCCCAACCCCGCTCTTGATGACCTAGCTGATAGAGAATCAGATATCTATCATCGCCTGGTCTGCTCTACAAGCAAGGCATCAGTTCTTTGCGAAATACACAGCCATCCCCTTTGCCGTCGACTTCTTCCTCAATGTCGGCGCCGTCCTCCTCGCGACCACGCTATACTCCCCTAACCCTCTATTACTCGACATCCTTCTCTTGAGCCCGGCGATAATACTCTCATATTTCTACACCATACCGACGAAGAAAAAGGCCAAGCCTCCCCAGGCGAAGAAGGTCACCGCGTCAGAGGCATCTCTCGACCCTTTGCCCCGCAAGCCATTCCTCACCATATACAGAGGATGCATGATGATCATAACATGTCTGGCCATTCTCGCCGTGGACTTCCCGATCTTCCCTAGACGATTCGCAAAGGTCGAGAACTGGGGCACGTCGCTGATGGACCTCGGGGTTGGCTCGTTCGTGTTCTCAGCAGGTGTCGTCGCTGCGAGGCCTGTTCTCAGGGAGAAGATTAGTGGGATATATACTACGCTGGGCTCGCGGTTATACTCGTCCATTCGACACTCATTGCCGCTCTTTGTACTGGGCCTGATTCGTCTTTGGTCGGTCAAGGGTCTTGACTATGCTGAGCATGTCACAGAGTACGGAGTCCACTGGAATTTCTTCTTCACTCTTGGATTTCTGCCACCTTTTGTGGCAATCTTTCAATGGGCATTCCAGCTGATCCCGTCATTTGAGGTGCTGGCTTTCCTACTTGCAGCTGTCTATGAGATTGTCCTGGACAATACCAACCTCAAGGCGTTTGTTTTGACAGCCCCTCGAACAGATCTCTTCTCAAAGAACAGAGAGGGGATATTTAGCTTCATTGGGTATCTGTCGATATTCCTGGCTGGACAGGGCATTGGGATGGCCGTTATTCCAAGAAACATCTCACCAAAGGAGCCCACTGGAAGCTTCGCCCAGCGGAAGAAGCTCCTTATTACGCTGGCGACCACATCCCTGGTTTGGAGTCTCTTATATGTGGCTACGACGCATTATTACGGGCTGGGACTTACCGTGTCTCGTCGACTTGCAAACCTGCCCTACCTCCTCTTCGTAGCAGCGTTCAACTGCATCCAAACCACGGCATTCTGTGCCATTGAGACGTTCTACTTCCCGGAAGTCTACAAGGCCACAGACAAGAAGACGGAGGAGCGCAACTATAACCAAGCAACGAGTAGGATTATGACGGCATATAACCGGAACGGCCTGGCGCTGTTCCTTGTCGCGAACCTGCTTACCGGGCTGGTCAACCTCACGGTTTCGACTCTTTTTGTTAAAGATTCCGTGGCGGTGGGCATTTTGCTCGCTTACGGGGGCGTGATAACCGGATTAGCCGTGTTGTTGGATGTGTATGATATCAGTATCAAGTTGTAACAGTAGTTATTTATCTTGAAGTATTAATTGTTGCAATATTATTGTAAGCTTAATGATAATATATTAGAATGAGCTGAGGGTTGCAGGAATGGGACAACTTGGACACACTTTACACGGCTTCTAAAACCCAGGTGAGTCGTTGCCATCACTATTCGGAGGATGAAGCTTGCATTGGTAAGACACCCAAGTAAGACAGCCAGCCCCTGCCTACCACCGTGCATATCTGCGTACATAGTACAGTACAACTCCGTGTGGTTGTGCATGCAGGGGCAATGCACCGCACTTCTATTTCGGTCCCGCAACCACCACGCGTGGTTGGCTCCGCCAGATCAGGACTTTTTGCAACTATCAATACTCTGTCAGGGATTTTTTTACACACGCTACTACTTCTATTATGCTTTCCGGAGGATGAAGTGAGGGGTTATTGGCCTGGGTCTGGAGAGCTGGTCGCACGCGCATGGTGCCTTCTTTTTGGGAGGGTGCGCGCTGTGTGTTGTCTACTGCTCGCCGGTCTAGGCTGGCTGGATTGAAATTTTGCTTTTAACTTTTGTTGTTTTTATTCCTGCCTTGTGTGTGGTTTGATGCATGTGATATGTATGTGGCGTGATGTGATGTGTGACACATACCATTTGTGACATGTTCCCCCCTGCCTCTGGTGTCTACTTGGAGGTTGTCGTCACTTTGGGGTAAGGTGGGGTGATATGAGGAAGGAGGAGGGGCGGTTATTCGCATATGCCTGAGGGCCTTCATCTCCCATATCAATGCAGGTAGGGGAGGCTGACGATGCGGTTGGGGAAATATTCCTTTTTTAAATAGGTAAGCGCCCTTACATGTGTCATACACCGTCGCACACGCCGGAGGGCATGATTTGCGAAGCGCTGGAGCATGGGCCTTGTCGCGGGTTTTTGAAATTGCTAGGGGAGATGTTTTTGCCATCAGATGAAGAAGTAAGTTTGGTGAGATCTGGGGGATCTAGGTTAAGGTACTTACCATACCGATTCCAGCGGGCAAGGCGTAAGGCCATCGGCCAAAAGGGGAAATGGCGCTCCCCGTCGCGGGCAAGTTTCGGGATTGTTGACGGGGAGGTGGGATGGGAGATGGGATGCTCTCGAGCGCCAGCCTTGCGCCACTCTTACAGTTCGTACGGATACAGCAATGCTCTGCCCAGTCCGTCTAGTCCAACCGCCGCTGGACGAATGTGATAATGAGCTCATCCTCATCTATTAGCCGCCAATTCACGTGTGGTGTGGCACGGGTAAGGCCGAGGGAAGCTTCGCATAAACAAATCTCTCCATCAGTGGGGCGGGCAGTGGCGATTCGTCGAGATGAGCACATAAACAACTGGGGCTGGGAGTACATACTGCCGAGTTACGGTACGAGTACGATCAACGGGGGAGAAAACGGGGGAGCCTGGTAGTCGTCTGGTAGTCGTGATGGTAGAGAGAGTTTTGCTTCCCGTGAGATGGGTCGCACTTGTGTATTGAGCACAAGTGCGCAGGGAGAGGTGGTTGCACAGATACAGGGAAATACGGGAACAAGAGCAAGGGAATGGGGAGAGGGAGGTTCGAGTCATGAAGAGTGTGAGAGTGTATTGTATCATATCATATTTGTATGCACTGTGGAACTAGAGAGCATAGTCAGTTCATGTAATGCGCTGGAGGAGAGTAGGGAATTGTGGCTGCGTTGAGGCCCAGAGCGAGGAAGGAAGTGTAGGAACGAGGTTAATAACACAACACTAACAACAAACGCTTACCACGCTTATTTCCATCTAGCATAAGGAAATCCCTAGATTACCCTTCTCCTCTTCTCCTCTTTCCTGTCATATCCGACAGATTGCTCTAAGCGCGTTATTATTTATCCGTGCTTGAAACAGTTAACTCGTACTGTACCTGTACCTGGATTAACGCCAGCAAGGTTGTTCGCTGTCCATTGTCCATTTTGTGTGTTAGCTGGTGTTGTTTAATCCTACTGTACTTCAAAAAAGGGCCGGCCCCCCTAAGGGTGTTAGTGTGTTAGTGTGTTAGTGTTAGGGTGTTAGGGTGTTAGGGTGTTAGTTGTGTGTTAGTTGGTATGTTAGTGTTAGTGTGTTAGTTGGTGTGTTAGCTGGTGTTAGCTGGTGTTAGCTGGTGTTAGCTGGTGTTAGCTGGTGTTAGCTGGTGTTAGCTGGTGTTAGCTGGTGTTAGCTGGTGTTAGCTGGTGTTAGCTGGTGTTAGCTGGTGTTAGCTGGTGTTAGCTGGTGTTAGCTGGCGTTAGCTGTGTCTCCGGTGTCCCGTTGTCCCCCTTTACGCACCAAACACTACCGCCCCCACCTATCTACCTTACCGGGGATCCACGTAATTAAATAAGGGTAGCAGAACGGTTTTCCCATCGCACACCGATACGCTTCTCTCCTTGCGACAAAAGCTGAAGAACCCTATGCTCAGCATGAGGGCACTTTGGACTTAACAGTTACGGCGAAAGTAGGGGTGGGCGATCGGTGAGCTACGGGTGCCCAGAGCCAACCATATTTAAAGTGAACGGTTTATGCGCCTTGTACGGATACGTTATAATAGCGGTTACGTAGTCATATACAGTAAATATATGGATTCGGTGAAACTGGAGATTTACTGTAGATATATATGGCCAGTGAATGAGGATTCGCCGGTATCACCACCTTAATTTGGCCCAGGTATGGCAAAACCGGCCATAGCGGTGGCATAATGGTAGTTGGGTGGTATCGGTGACAGCAAGATCACTGTTGACCGGCCAGGAAACAGTTAATAAGCACAGAAACATTATATTTACTACATAGATATATCTAGCCAGTATCCTCCACCCTTCTGCCACTCCTTACCCAAGTTCTGATGCCACATTTGAGCTGTGGCATCAAGCGGCCACCGAAAGCTCGCATCATAGCTCTCGCGCACCAACCCCCAGACCCCGCACCTACCCCAGGCTGTTTATTTCAAGTTCGTTCAGACCATCGCCAGGTCTTATCCTTTCCTATCCTTCCTTCCGTGCATCGGCCAGCTGCCAAGTGTCGTTTATATGTCGAAATGGGTAGCCAGCTACCAAGTGTCGAGTTCGTAGGTCGATGTCGGGCTTTGTGGTAGCGCTCTGCCACTTCGACATGTGGTTCTTGAGTATCTATATCAAATTAAATAGCTGGTAGTCATGTAATAGATGAGGGGGGGTTGGGAGACTCACAGTTTGGTGCAGGTTGGAGTGGGCAGATCCGCTTTAACGGTTGAACTGAGCAAAGCAAAACGAAAGAGAAAGGCGCTGGACTTGGCCGATTTAAAAACTGGGCTTGCTGGAGCTAGCTCAGTCGGCGGTTGTCCAGACAGTATCAATGAAAGAAAAGGAAAGGAAAGAAGAGAGGTAAAGCGAAAGGACATAGAGAAATAAAAATACTTACTGGCTGTAATATACCCAAAAACGAACAGAGATAGAGAAAATAGACACTTACCGGGCTAGAATATACCCAAAACCGAAAGGACATGGAGAAAATAAAAATTGAAACACTTACCTGACTTAACTGAGTATCGACATGTAGAAATGCATGCCCAAGCTGGAGGAAATCAGCTTCAACATACCTCTAAACATATCAATCCACTAAACGAATAAAAAGGAAATAAAAAGGAAAAGAATTGAGGCATTCCAAACATGAAGTTTCAACCTACTGATGTGTGTAGTCGGCCACAAGTGGCCATGACCAGGGACACTGAAGCTTGTAGAATGGAAACATAGTCAAACTTACTGGTAATGCGATACATAAGTATGTGCCACCTATGATAGTCGCCCGAAGACACTCCACGGAGTGCTCATAGCAAAGTGCCCAAAACAGGGCCAAAACCAGGCTGGGGAAATGCACGTTTTGTTTTTTCAAAAATCCAAAGGCCCCCCCTTTGGACTCTGAAAACCCCATACAAATCCAGAGTCTGCACACGATTTGACATACCTCAAATTGAGGTGCGCAAGATGGTGTGCATTCCAGACATCCTGGGAATGGCTAGGGAGTATGGCGGCGCGACCAAAAACGCCCAGGGAGTGCTCATGCCTGGCGTCGAAAGGTGACTAGAGTTTTGTGTTTTGGGTCAGTAGAATTTAGGCAATTCGGTGAGAGGATAGAGGACTTACCTGGGAGCAGCAATGTCGAAGAGGAGCGCTCTATGGTCGAGCTGGTTGGTGGATTGCGATGAGGGTGGGGGAGCTTTGGATAATGCCTATGAATCGGGGACCGTTCGGCAATACAAGGTGATGGCTGGGAGCCATTCATCACTGACTTTAAATATCCTGGGAGTGGCCGCGCCAGGCGGAGTATCCAGCTCATGTTTGGGGGGAGGGCTTTCGATGGTGAGGAGGAGGTCAGAGATATTTGCGTTTGCAGGCAGCTTGGTGAGCATGCCAGCGAGGGTGGCCATTGTGTCGAAGAGCGAGAAGCCAGAGATATTTGCCTTCGAAAGGCAAGCCCGATGGATATGGCTCAATTAAGCTGTCAATAGTGGCAGACTTGAATCTGTGACAAGGTCAGCCAGCTGTAGGTTTGGGCTGGAGTGGGGAGACTATCCTGGACAGTACTCCGGACAGCATTGAATGAGCTTCGAAAATGATTGAGGAAGGTTCAGAGAGGCTCAAAGAGGCCTCGACAATGCCAAACAGAGCTCTAACCACATTGGGCAAGTTGTGGCAAGGTCAGCCAATGTTTTGGCGGGCTTGGAGAGCCAAGAAGAATAGAGCGCGACAGCTCAGAACGAAGCTCGAGAGCGAGCGGTTGACATGACAAGTGAGAGTTTGAATACTCGTTCAAATGAGATTGAACTTACCTTCACAGTGCCAATTCTGATGGCATATCCTACCTTTACATAGGTAAAGGTCGATTCAGAGACAGAATTCGAAATTTAGAGTGAAGTTTACGGTGGGCGAAGAAACCACCAAATATGGAAGGCACGTATCACCTATTTTCATAAAGCCGTATTCAAAGCATCGAAATCGACATCACATAGAGTAATATGAATAGGTAGATAGATATAGAAATTGAGTTCATTTATTATATCTACGGCTTCACTTCTAACTTGTAAAAGCGCTGCCATCCTCCCAGTTTCCCTTATGTTACTAGGAGGTCTCGAATGAACGCCGCTTGAGCCGGAGTGAAACTCGAAGTATGGATGGGGTCTTTTAGGCAGCGGCACTTTGCTGCATGGATACTGGCTTGGCTTGGGAGTATGGGCTTACCTTGGTGCACATCTCAGCTGGACTTGGTGCTTTCGGCGTGTGGGCTTGGGCATTGCTGGACTTGCTGGTTTCGGAGTGATGGAATGGCTGGAATGTCATGGGCTGCTTGTCGTGTCGCTGTCGGGCTGGGCGGAATAGATGATCACATTGAGGCAATTCGGGCTGGCATTTGCATGGATGATGGCTATATTATTGAAGCTATATAGAATATAAGATTGTTCCTGATGCCTTCTTTTCCTTTGCTTCCCTATGTCCCATGCTCCTCCGCCGTAATCATCTTGGTGCTGCTAGCTGCCATATGTTCCACCTCTCCCATCGCCATGATCAAAATGATGACGGCGGCTTTTGCCCCGGCTTCCCTACTCCCAAAGCCTCTTCCCAGATTTTTGGGTATATATTGAGGCCCGTTTGTCTGTTTACCCTGCCAACTAGAACGAACCGACACTTCCTGTCGACTGCAGCATACGGGCTGCCGCGGTAGGTCTCACTTTCTGCTTCCCTCACTTGTTTTTTGTTCGGCCTTTTGAAGCTGCGTTAGAATAAGGTTTTTTCTTATTACCGTATGATTTTCTTGCTGCCGTATGGTTTTCCTATCACCTCACTGCTTTTATCACCGCGCTTTGCTTTTTGGGTGCGATTCTCACTTTTTTCAACTGCTGGCCACGCCGGCGATGGTTCATTCCGAGTATACTGCCGACTTCTGGCATCGGTAATACCTTGAAGATGGCGCCATCACCGTTTACGGGCCACCGAAGAAGGAACGAAAACGGTGAGTCAATTTTACTATTCTACTACGGCTTCTTTTCTATTTACTGGTGCTTGGCGTCGACCGTTTGGGAGGAATCACCGTTGGCATGAGAAACGGGTGGTGCCACGGAGCACGCACCAAAAACCGTGGGAACACCAGCCCATTTTGGTGACGGTCCCCGTTACCGTCGTGCTACCCTTATTCAATTGTGAAATCCCGGTAAGGTACACCCAAAACTCCACTTCTCCCTCACAATTCATCGCTTAAGTCGCGAAAAAGGGAAAGAAATTACAGCGGCCGACCGCCAAACAACTCCAGTCGCTCTTCCCCCACACCCCCCCCCAAAAGCAGCCAGCCTTCAACGCCAGGCCGATCATACCCTCGAGCGGAGGCTTAATTTTAACATCTTCAACGCCTCCCCGTCTCTGACTTCATTCACTGTCGTTCTATCTTCAATTCATCCAATCTTCCAATATACTTCATCTCTCACTCAATCCAAAAGATAGTCTTATCGCCAGTGTAAACAGCCCTGAACACGCCCAAAATCACGCAGAGTCGCGGATACGGACAGGTGCTAAGGGGGTGATCTGCTTACATTGGTTTCACTGTTTGGGCTGCAACATCATGGTAGCTGGAGGTCCTCATTGGTGACAGAGGCGACACAATCGCTGATCACAGGCAATCGAACACACCGTCAGATCTAACTTTTCGACTCCGAGAGAACTCGATCTGACGAGATATCCAACGGCGACCCAACTACAAACTCAATCTATCGCGTTGAGCAGGATCATGTCGTCCGCTGTGTCGCTCCAGGCTCCACATCAATCAACCACGATAACCTCGCTCCCGCAGCCACCATCGCCATCGACGCGACAATATTCGTCACAGGCGCAGCAGCCGAGAGACCAGGCGTACAATCAACAGACCGGAAACGCGTCGCCAGCGTCGACAACGCGGCGGCCATCGAAGCGGCCAAGTGGGAATGGCGCATCTCCTGTAACCCAGCAACAACCACAACAATACTATTCCCCCACAACATCCGCGTTTCCGATGACGGGCCAACACCACCAATCGCCCGTAGTTTCCGAATCCGCGAATTCTCGCTCAAACGTGACAGGCGCCGAGTACCAACGTGGTATGCCGCCGGTCGCGCCGCCGAGAACCTCGTCAAACCAGAGATCCTCGGGCCCTGCTCTCGCCGCAGCCGCCGCAGCAGCTACTACTTCGACAGACCGACCGAAATGGAATGCACAGCAAGCTGACGACCGGGCAATACACGCGGCAAGAGTAGCTGCTGCTGGTGACGGCCCCCACTCCGACCAGCGGGAATCCTGGCAAACCAACGGCCACCGATCCAAGGCTGCCGACGACAGCGCGCTTGCAACCGATTCGGCATCTAGATCACGAAGGCGCGCACAGCAGCCAGGGGAAGATTCACCGCACAGATCAAACACCACGCGTGAAAGCCGTAGCGCCCAACAACCCCAGCCGCAGAATCGGCAACAAGACATGGGCAATTCGGCGAATGACGCGAATGGCCCGATAAGAGAGACCAACGATGTCTTGAGCCGTTTGGTCATAAGCCAACCTAAGGTGGATCTGGACAGGGAACGCGAACGCATGGCCGAGGCTGTACCGCGGACCTACACTGGAGATGCTTCTTCTCCTGCCGCGGCCCCCAACGCTGTTGACAACGATGGAAATGATGATGGTCGCGCAGGAGAACGCAGAAGACAGGACCATAGCACAAAACGAGAGAAGACGACCAAGTTTGGTGAATACTTCCTCGGAAACACCCTGGGTGAGGGCGAGTTTGGCAAGGTCAAGATGGGCTGGAAGCAAGAAGGCGGTGTACAGGTAGGCTTTGGAATGATGCTTCGACGAGATTGTATACTAATATACCTCAGGTTGCTATTAAACTAATCCGGAGAGACAGCGTTGGAACGAATCCTACGCGACTTGCCAAAATCTACCGCGAGATTGCGATTCTACGAGAGATTTCACATCCGAACATTGTGCGACTCCATGAGATGGTGGAAACCGAGAAACACATTGGCATCATTCTAGAATACGCGTCGGGCGGAGAGCTTTTCGACTACATCCTGAACCACCGATACCTGAAGGACAACTCGGCACGGAGATTGTTTGCTCAGTTGGTCTCGGGGGTTGGCTACCTTCACAAGAAGGGAATCGTCCACCGTGATCTGAAGCTGGAGAACTTACTACTGGACCGCAACCGCAACATCATCATCACTGATTTCGGCTTTGCCAATACCTTCAACCCCGTGGATGAGCTCGGGGAAGAGGTGGAGTACGGCCTATCGAGTCGTGATTATGTGAGGCGGATGGAGCTTGACAGGATCCTGCCTGGTGGCTTCCGACGAGGCGATCTGATGCAGACCAGCTGTGGAAGTCCGTGTTATGCTGCCCCGGAGCTGGTCGTTAGCGACTCCTTGTACACCGGCCGCAAGGTTGATGTCTGGAGTTGCGGAGTTATCTTGGTATGCACCAGCCCCAGATTGTGTCAAGATATAGAACTAACTTGCTTTCTTCAGTATGCAATGCTTGCAGGGTACCTTCCCTTCGATGACGACCCAGCGAACCCCGAAGGTGACAATATTAACCTTCTCTACAAATATATCGTATCCACGCCTTTAACATTCCCCGAATATGTCACTCCTCATGCCAGAGACCTTCTCAGACGAATTCTTGTCCCAGATCCACGAAAGCGCGCCGACCTCTTCGAGGTTGCGAGACACAGCTGGCTGAGCGAATACGCTCATGTTGTGGGCTTTATTACCAGCAATACCACCTCGCCAGCAGATATTGCCAATACAACCGTCAAGGAAGAGCGTTCGGACGGCGGATCATTACTTGCCCGCAGTGCGTCGGTCAGAGAGCCAACGAAGTCGCAGAAACCTGCGCCGGCTGTTGGAGACCTTGCACGAAAGCATGGGAACGTCGACCAAGACGCCGAAGACCACACCACCCCCAAAGCCAACAAGGATGCCAAACGCCGTACATTGCAGGTCGAATACGTGGCACCTCGACAGCAGACCGTCAGAGGCGAAGATATCTCCTCTGCTCCTCAATCAGTATCCAGAACGCGTGCTGGTGCTGACAGCCAGGGCCATGCTGAAGTGGGCGCTGCCGCACAAGAGAAAAGACGGGTCGCGTCTTCAGAGAAGCCATTGCCCCTGGCACCTGGATCTGCACGGGACTCTAAGAAGCCTCCCAGCGCGCATCGCAGCCAACCCATGGCCGCTCCATCCAGGCCTGGCAGAGAACCAGCACGTTCCACCTCCGAAAATGCATTCATGGCACCGTTGCTGGGCCAGGGTATTGCAAGGCCTAACACTGGTGGTTCTATGACGTCCACTCAAAGCGGAATTAATACAACACATTACAGCCAGACGGCTGCTCCTACTGTTGCCACCACCAACGCTCACGGCCGCATGTCTCAACCCACTACGAGCAATGGGCAGCGATACGATGTCTCCCCTGAAGGTGAATCTGACTACGGCCGTCCAAGCATTAGCCAAGGAATTCCACCGAAGTTCGCCAGACTCTCTGGCCTGGAAGACTCCGCTGCAGACGCACCTCCAACTCGCTCGCACAAGCGTTCTAGCACTATTGGTAGCATATTCGGTCGTCATGGGTCGATATTCGGAGGCAAGACAAACGCCGAGAAACCGAAGAAGTCCTATCCGCCAGTGAGCTACCCTGGTCCAGCTGCAGCTGGCGAGGTCAGCAGACAATCGGTTGATTCTAGCCGCCGTTCTATATCCTTTGGGTTTGGCAAGAAGAGGAGTGGCAGCGTTACTGGGTCTACGGGTGGTGATTCTGACCAAAAGAAATCAACGAGACGATTCTCGCTCCTCCCAGCAAGCTTTTCGTTGAAATCCATCGGTATTGGAAAAGAGTCTGACTCTGCAACTCCATCTGAAGATGGTCGCTATTACGACGATGGAGTCGATCGTTCCGCTGCGTACGGCGAGCCAGCACCGCCGGTTGAGAAACTCCAAAGCAGGCCTCAGACCAACGCGGTTGCTCCAATATACACTCGAAGCCGCGATGGGTCTCAACAGGCTGCAAAAGCTCCACCGATTGCGACCCCGATACACCAACGTTACGCATCTACAACCCAGCAGCCTCCTCCACCCACAGCATACGATGGGCAATCTGACTTCGGGCCCCGCCCAACATACCGCCCGAAGACCATAGACTCCCCGCCACCCACGGAACCAGCGCACTCTAGCTATCCAAACCTGGCCAAGAGCCAGACGCGCCAGGCGGCGCAGAATGCAAGATATAACCAGAACCAAGGGTATAACGATTACGATTCTGACAGACAGGCCGGCAAGGGTGGAAGAGGCGCCTTACAAAAGAACAACCGCAAGTTTACGGAAGCGTATGAGGCCGATGGTGGACAAGACCAGGGAGGGTACGGAGGTAATAACCACACGTCTGGCAGCAGCGGCGCGGCCAGGAAGGTGATGGACTTTTTTAGACGAAGAGGACGGGCGAGAGAAGGTGAGATGTGAGCGATTGAGCGACGAGAATTTCAAGGAAAAGAGAGAGAGAGAGCAAGCGAGCAAGGTGAAGACAAAGTTTTGATATATTTCTTGGCAGGCGGGGCGTGAAGGAGTCCTACTTTTTGTGCTTTGCTCTTATTTCGCCATTTGGGGATCGCTTCTATTTTTGCGTGCGAGGGACGGGGGGGCTGCTGGAGGGTGCGATGATTGATTGTGCGATTATAATAGGCGGATGCCTGGGCATGGGACGCGATGCATTGGGGAGGGGCGGAATGTATGTTTTGATATTGGTTTTCGAAGTTGCGAGAGGGGGGGAGGAGGAGTGGGAAGGAGATAGAGAGTGTTGTTGGTGTCAGCGTGAAGAGCGAAGAAAGTGGGAGTGGATGGAGCAAGAAGGATGTACTGTTTAATTGGCTTTTAATACCCCACACTACTACCGCCTTATATAGTATATTGCAAGTGTTGGCCACGATTGGTGTCTGTCTTCAATCGAGTCTTCATCTCTTCATTTCCCATCTCAGTGTTTACTTCATAAATGTGCATAATATGATTGTGCTCACAATGTAAAAAAATAAACGCCACGTCACCTGACTTCGTAATTTCGCGTCAGTCATACTGTGGCTGTCTGTATGTGGCGGTGCTGGGCTTCTGACGTCATCCATTCCTTCCAGCAGGGGAAATTGGAGCGCTTGTGATAAGCTTGTACTTTCTTAGAGTCACGCTCTATCTACGGAGTACCAGACATCAAAAAGACAAACTCCTTTTATCTGCAAATTTATCACCCTCAAAAGACCCCGAATCGATGAAGGAGCCCCCGCCTACCCAAGCAACAGTCACGGACCGTCTACGCTCATGGCTACACCCTAAACCAGACGAAAACGAGGGCACAGAGCTGCCCACGACCCTCCCCCCCACCACCTCCCCCACCACCTCCCCCACCACCTCCCCCACCACCTCAACGACCCATAGCCACCATGGCTCCAACGGCAGCGAGAAGAACATCACCTTCGCAGACACCAATGGCAACGGCGCCGCAACCCATGAAAATGGCCACGCGATCAACATCGCATCTCTCTCCGGCACAACGCCTCAGCCCGATACGGAGGCTGAGGGGACGGGGTTTGTCGTGAGCGGCAAGGAGGAGAAGAAGAAAAAGAATATTGCAGTGCGCTTTGCGCTCACTACTAAGAAAATCGTCGGCTCGAGCTGGCTTAATGTCATCCTCGTGTTCGTGCCCGTGGGCATCGCCGTTGAGGCAGCCCACGCTAGCCCAATCATCATCTTCGTGATGAACGCAATTGCCATCGTGCCGTTGGCTGGACTGCTGAGTTACGCGACGGAGAGCGTCGCGAAGCGCATGGGTGACACTGTCGGGGCGCTGATGAACGTCACATTTGGAAACTCGGTCGAGCTGATTATTTTCATTATCGCTCTGGCCAAAAACGAGATCCGCATTGTGCAGGCGTCCCTGCTGGGATCGATCCTGGCTAATCTGCTACTGATTCTTGGACTTGCCTTTTTTATCGGTGGGCTGAGATTCCGGGAGCAGATTTACAATAGCACGATTACGCAGATGAGCGCTTGTCTGCTCAGTCTGAGTGTTATGAGTCTTCTGCTGCCTACTGCTTTCCACGCTGCCTTCAACGATCAAAATCAGGCGAAGGCAGATAAAGCAGTTGTCAAGGTCAGCAGAGGCACGAGCGTCATTTTGCTGCTCGTCTATGGTCTCTACCTCGTCTTCCAGCTCAACTCGCACGCGTACTTGTATCAGAGTACGCCACAGCACATCATCGACGAGGAATCTGCACCTGGGCCAGTGGCGCTTTGGATGGAGTCTTCAACCGATGATTCTTCCTCTAGCTTTAGCTCCGATGACTCTGATGACTCGAATGGCACAGCCGCTAAGATCAAGCGCGCTATCAGGCGTGGTGGCCGAAGACGCCGCAAGTCGAGCGTGAGCACCGCCAACACGTTTGATCGCGCGAACCTATCCCGGAATACCTTTTACGAGGAAACTGGCGGCCCATCCACGCAGCCCGTGGGTGCTGCCGACGCAGACATCGAGGATAACTCGACGCCCCTGTGTTCAACCAGCAGAAGCCGCCACAACAGCATCAACGAGAAGCAGGAAAAACCATCCCGTAAAGAACGCAAGGAGCGCAAACGCCAAAAGCACGCTGAGAAGAAGGAGCGCAAAAAGGCAAACAAGGCACTGCGCGAGCAGGCCGAGATGGAAGAGGCCCAAGCCAAAGAGCCCATGGGCGACTATGCACCCCGCCGCGTCGACTTCGCCGTCGCAGACACGGAGATCCAGGCACCCATCCCAAAACGCCCATTCCTGAAGAGCATCCGCCCCGCCTTGCCAAAGACTCTCTCGCAGAGCGTCTTCACCCAACCACCGCCCTCCGCGTCGCCTCACCCCGTAGCCACGCCAGGCCCGGTCCCACTTATCCGCTACGGCATCCGCCGCACGAACTCGCTGCCATTACGACTGGACACCCCTGCTGGCGCCGAGGCAGCAGTCGCTCCCAACCAGATCATCCACGCGTCGTCGTCGATTCCTATCCACCCTCATACCGAGAAGGTGGAGGAGGACGAGGATGATATCTCGCGCACGACGGCTGTGATTCTCCTGCTCATCTCTACTGGTTTGGTCGCCGTGTGCGCCGAGTACATGGTTGCTAGTATCAATGATGTTACTACGCATACTGCCCTCGGCGAGACGTTTGTGGGATTGATCATCCTGCCTATTGTTGGTAATGCGGCGGAACACGTGACGGCTGTTACGGTGGCGACGAAGAATAAGGTTGATCTTGCTATTGGTGTTGCTGTTGGAAGTAGTATTCAGATTGGTATGTCTCCCTCTTTCCCCCTTATTTCTGAAAAATAGAACGTGGGCTAACATTCTTAACAGCACTCTTTGTAACCCCTTTCATCGTCCTCCTGGGATGGATGATGGATAAACCCATGTCACTGTACTTCACCCTCTTCGAGACGGTATGTCTCTTCGTGTCGGCCTTCATTGTCAACTTCCTCGTCCTGGACGGTCGCAGCAATTACCTTGAGGGCGCGCTGTTGTGTGCTGCATATGTTATTATCGCCGTGGCAGCATTCTTTTACCCAGTTCTTGGGGACCAGAGTTTGTTGGGCGGTAATACTGCTGCTGGTAGCTAGATGGGTTGAGGATGAGGTGGATAGATGGGGGTGATAGGATGTGAGGAGAGGGGGGGTAGGAGATGGGTTGCTTTGAAACACTTATGTGAATTTCTGTTCTTCTGTAGTTAGGTAGTTGAACTGAATTTGCAACGGGCAACCGATAAAACTACACTGTTCAGGAGACTATGCCCATTTTTGAATATGTCGTGTTTGCATGGATAGCCTGCAACCAGGCAATATGTAACCTTACAAGCTGTACGATGAGACCATCTATGTCACTACGCACCTGCCATGGTCATGGCTAAAAGCATATCTCAATATAATTAAAAGACTCCGCCTTGGTTGTCGTTTGGAGGGTTCCTTGGTGGAATTAACTTCTCCACGGTGGAGTTGGGCCAAGTAGAAAAGCTATGTAGACCGCTATGGCAGTCCATATAACAGTCGTCCATAAGAGAATTGGGTTGTTGATACGCTCCTGTACGTTGCGTTGAACAGACTCAAACTCTTCTTGTTCCTGCGGTCTGGGCTTCTCGTCGCGATGCCTGCTAGGGTAAGGGTTCAACAGCGAGATAGCATACATCCCTTGACTGCGGTCGGCACAGTTCAAAGATCTCGCCGTGGGGCCTCTGAAATCCGCGTTGGGCAACTTGCATTGAGCCTTCGAGATCGAGCTGTACGAGTGGCAAATTATTAAAGAGGGTAATAAACCGCTTCATAATTCCCTGTGAGCAAGTGATGTGATGGTCGTTTAGTTCTAAACTGTCTGCTACTCCCCTACCCCTTTCCCACCACTCTCAGGGGACACCCACGCACCGTATATCGCCGGCTTTCACCAGACAAAAATAACCACAACGTTCGTCGTAATAGATATCCAGCATTGCAAAAAGGTAGAAACCCATTCCAGTATCTAGAAGACTTACAACGCAAAACAAAATATTCGACCCTGATGGGGATCGAACCCACAATCTCTGCCTTTCATAAACGTGAGGTCACGTTAGTCGGAGGGCAACGCGGTACCTTTTCGCCACAGGGCCAGACAGTTGTACGATTTTAAAACTATAGTATGCTATACTCCACTACACCTCGCTCCTCCAATCGAATCCCGAAATTGAGGATTTTTGAAATCTTTGTGTCATCTCGCACTCAACCCAGCTCATGTGAGCAGATATATGGAGGACAACTCCGGGCGCCTCTTGGCTCTTAACACACACCATACTCCAGTTTATCTCTTGATATGGCCGGAAACTATGTTGGTGACTCGGATGTGAAAGATGGTCTTCCTCCTTTCGATCACGTGAAGTACTCGCCGCCCCCTTTTACTTCCCTGGTCTGCAGTTGCTAAGCATTGCGCAGTCCCTTGAAGCTGTTTGATATTGCTAGAGAGCAGGGAAGACCACTGTATACCTCGGCGCCTATGGTGAGGTATAGCAAGGTAGGCAGGACTGGAGGGCATGTTACGGGACTGTGGCTGATGAACTGGATAGCTTGCTTTTCGTCAGACAGTGCATAAGTATGGCGTTGACCTATGCTGGACACCGATGGTATGCTCCATTCTGCCCTGGGCCATCATCAAGGATCACCACTTACGTTCTTTCCGCAGATCCTAGCAAAAGAGTTCAACAGAAGCGTCTTCGCCCGGGACAGCGGTACAAACAGCCTCCCTCGCCCCATTTCCTTCCACAGACTCTAACCCCCCACAAGACTTTACACTCCCCCCCTCTCCCACCTCCGTCCCAACCATCCTCCAATTCGGCGCCAACTCCCCCCTCGAGTTCGCGCGCGCAACAAGCACACTGGCACCCTTCGTATCAGGCGTAGACCTCAACTGCGGCTGTCCCCAGTCCTGGGCATGCGCAGAATGTCTCGGCGCCGCGCTGATGAACAAACGCGAGCTCGTTGCTGATATCGTCAAAGAAGCGAAGGCGACGCTGAAGAGGGACGGGTATGAAGGGCAGAGAACAGTTAGTGTTAAAATCAGGATACACAAAGACTTACGGTACTCCCTCCTGACAGCCCAAACTCCACACGCGACTTCCAGAACCCCACAAAGAGACCAGGGAGACTGACAAAACCAGCCAAACAATAGACTTCATCAAGACCGTCCAAGACGCCGGCGTCGACTTCCTCACCATCCACGGTCGCACCAAATCCCAACGCTCCTCCGAACCCGTCAACACAGAAGCTCTCTCCCTCCTCCGCCCCCACGTCACCGTCCCCCTCATCGCCAACGGCGACGTCTCAACCCTCGCAATCGCATCTTCCATCGCCGCCGAAACGGGCATCGACGGCGTCATGTCCGCGCGCGATATCCTGGCCAACCCGGCCCTGTTCGCGGGGCACGATGCGTGTCCGTGGGAGGCGGTGGAGCACTTCATGAATCGCGTTGTCAGGGCGCCGATTCCGTTTAAGCTTGTGTTGCATCATTTGAGTCAGATGACGGGGAGTGCTGGAGGGGGGAAGCCAGCGTTGTTGGGGAAGGAGGAGAGGGGGGGACTGATGGAGTGTCGGGATATGATTGAGGTGATTGATTTTTTGGATCGGGTCAAGGGGATTACACGGCTTTAGATGGGGGTATATAAATGATAGGCATATAAATGATGGCAATGGAACAGAACTAAATGGATATGGCTTGTACATGTAGATTATGCTTCTATTTTGTTGTACATTCCGGGCTAGATTTTTCAAACCGCCCATACGAGCGCCCTTTACCCCTTTCCCTCGCCAACCAATCACCTGCAACCACCACACCTATAATAAATCGTACATCTAAAGACATGCCGCCATGACTTCGATCAAAGAGTGGGGAGAGCCAGACCGTCGAGTCCAGTAACCAAAGCAGACCCCTTGGGCCAAAGCGCCATCGCTCGGGCGCAACGAACTCCCACCTCCACACATGCTATATACATACAAAATATGCCTTACAATTACAGTACATTTCGGCTGCCCCCTGCTGAAATACGTATTTTCCATAGCGGCGAAACCTAGATCGATCCCCGGAGCCACAAAGGAAATCGCTATGCAAAAGAATGCCGACAAAAAAGGGCCCGTTTTTAGTACTCGAAAAGAAAATTCAAGATGATCGCGCTCCTCATATGTAGTCGCGTCCGCTCTTCTGCAGCTCGATAAGCCTCCAGCCGCGGGTCTCGGGGTTGTTGACTTCCTCCGGGATGCGGGTCACGCCGATGGCGTAGGTGACCAGCTGGACCTTATCCTCCATTCCGGCAGCGAGGTCGTTGGACTTCGCGTTGCGGTAGACGTGAACCTCCTGTGTCCTGCAGGTGACGATGAAGACTGGGACATCTCCGGGCTCCAGCATTCTCGCGGACATAATGTCGACGTGCCTGATATCCAAGATCCTTCCGTCCGACTTCAAGCCAGCAGTGGTGTACTGCTTTGATAACGCGTCGTAGACCGAGAACTGTGCTGCGCTGAGCCACAGTCTAAGAGTCTCGGTATCACCCTTGACGTATGCGTCGAGAACTTCAGGAAGGATATATTCGCGCATCTCACGGAGGAACGGCTCGAGCTGGAATCCAGGGTCCATCTCGCGGAACTTCTTGATGACCATTGCCGTCTCGTTCTCGGCGAAGAAGCCGGCAATGCGGTCCGAGATCGATCGCGCAGTCGATACGAGGGGGTTTTCAGATTCGTTGTAGGCCGATTTCATTGAGAACAGACCCTGCATGACCTTGTTGGAGTCGCGGAACTCGCGCCACGACTCCTTCCAGGCTGCATCCTTGTGAAGAGTGACATTGGTTCCGGCACTGCAAATTGTTAGCATCAAGTTTCTAGTAGGCGAGGGTATAATCGTACTTTGGATCTTCTTTGGCGACTTCCCGAGGACCTGGAACACCGCCGTTTTCAGCGAGCTCTCTGGCCTCTCTCGACTTCCTCCTCTCCTCCTTCTCAACCCATCCACCATATCTCGAGCTGCTACCATCATCGATAACATTCTTCACGTTCTTGTATGCTTCGGTCTCGCGAAGCGGCCGGGTTGACTTCTCAAGCACGTCCCCGGTGGCGTTGACCGTCGACCGAACACCCTTCACCACATGTGTATCCCACGTCCACGCAGCTCCTTTACCCACGGCACCAGCAGTTGTCTTCAACACCTTCGCGCCGGTAGACGAGACTCTGCTTGTGCTAGCCTCGTATGCTTGACGTGCGCGCTTTACCGATTCGCTCTCCGTGAATTGATGGGCTGAATCCGACAGGGCCTTGGTTCCCTCGTTCCACTCCTTCGAGGACTTGAACTCGGACTGCAATGTTTCGGTAAACACCTGCCACGGTGACTTCTCTCCGTGAGGTGGAGGGGGTGGTGGGGCTTCCTTCTTCTCCTCTTTATCGCCTTCGGACTTCTCTTCGTCCTTCGGCTTCTCCTCTCCAGCTTGCTCGGGGTTTTCGCTGGCCTTCTTGGCAGCTTCCTCTGCAGTCTCCTGGGTGGCAGATTCTTCCTTGGGGACGTCCTTCGCCGTGTCCTTGCTCTTCTCCCGTCTCAGCGATGCCGACTGATGAAGAGTTCGCCTAGATCGGGGGGAGGCTTGGTCGGCTAGAAAGGATTCGGGTAAGAATTGGGATCTCAGTGGTAATAATTCAACACGTAGAGAAGATGTAGAAGTAGAGTGAAGACCGGCAATCTGCGCCTGGCTGATAGACTGCGTATATGCCGCGATTCGTGTGTTCACAGGCCTTGCCGCAGTCGCAGCCCTTAAGGGAGAGCTCAGCAGCGCTGTTGCCGACAGCCGTAAACCGTTCATGTCGCCCTTTGATGTTCCCTTCGCAGGCAAAAAAAAAGTCGCTAGATATGATAGATGCCCACAAATGCAGGCAATGCCGATACAGGACAAGAGTCGCTGGGGAAAGAGAGGATTGGGGGGGGGCAACTCGGGTGTCGATGTTGTGCCTGTGGCGGCGCTCCGATATATTTTCCCCAACTACCAAATTGACAAAAATATAAGGGCGACGGGAGTTGCCGGCTCGGCACTAGCGGAACTAGTACATGCGATGTAAGTTTATTGATCAAGTTCCTCCTCACGAGACATTCCACATCGCAGTCAACAACAAAGCACAATGAGTAGGACGGCGGTCAGACATGTGGTGGCTCTTACGGCGCTCTCTGGAAGGGCAGAGGCTCCCGCCATCGCGAGGCCTGGTTTCCAATGCCTGCAGCGACAGCAATTTTCACAAGCCCCCCCACGCCGAGCAGAGGGCGACGAGCAATCCCCGACATCTGCTCCCTTTAAAGCAGACTCGACCCTGGGTCTCTCATCCAACAAGTCATCCTCCAGCGCCTCCAGCCCTGCCAAACGCCCCGCCCTCAGCGACCTCTCCGCCATCTTCGAAGAAGGACAGGCCTCGAAGTCGAGCTCGCGATTCCCCAGCCCAGCCGGACTGTCAGCATATAACAACCTGAGCGCACAGCAGCGCTATGAGGAGCCGCACCACTTGCACGTGTACGCCACGAAGCATAACACGCACATCACGGTGACACGGCCGAACCGCGACCCGGTTATCTCGATGTCGACAGGGAACATTGGGTTCAAGCACTCGCAGAGGAAGCACTACGATACGGCGTTCCAGCTGGCTAGTTATGTGTTTGGGCGGATGAGGGATACGGGGTTGCTCTCGCAGATTAAGAAGTTGGAGGTTGTCTTGAGAGGGTTTGGGCAGGGGAGAGAGGCAGTTACGAAGGCGATTTTGGGGGTGGAGGGGATGCCGTTCAGAGGGAAGATTGTGAGGGTTACGGATGCTACGAGGCTTAAGTTTGGTGGTACGAGAAGTCCAAGGCCAAAGAGATTGTAAGCCGCAGATGCTACCATGGATGTTGTATTAGAGTGTTGGCTGGAGATACGGGGATGCGGTTGGCTCATCACATGGCAGAGTTCACGCTGTATTTTATAAATATGTAACTTTTTACTAGAAACGGAAGAACCCTTGGGTATCAAAATCTCATAAACGCCGCCCGCCCGCCCTCCCTTGCTAAAAGAATGTCGTGGTTGCATATAGGTCGTGAGGGTAGATCAGATGCCTCGTGGTAAAGGAGCCCGTTCTGCTGGTGGCACCACTCGCCCAGATGTATCCCTGATGGGAGCCTTTCCCTTCCCCTTCGCACCGTTCCTTCTTTCCCTGTCGTTCTCATACTCGTCATCGTCTGTCTCGTCGCTGAAGCTACGTCGGTATTGCCGCGTAGGAAGCATCCTTGAACTTTCATTTGCATCATCCTCGTCTCCATCAACCAACTCTCCATCTGCAGTGTCGAAGTCCGGGGGGGCGATCCATTCTTTCGGTACGACGCATGGCAAAGCGATACCGATGCTAGCTGCCCGGTTAAGCCAGCCGGGCCCAGGTCTCCCGGTCAGCTTCTCACACAGGTATGATGTGAAGTGGTTGCAGTTTCGTGTGAGGATATTGTATGACGTTCCTTGAAACTCTTCGGAAGCTGCCTTGATGATGGCTTCTATCTCTTCTGCGGGTGCCAAGGTGAAGCCTTGGAGGACCTCGCACTTGAACGTGCCTCCAGGTGGTTCAGACTGCGGCCTCGTCCAGTAGACGCCCGTCATGCCGCGCTTGTCGTGCCCGCCGTATGCGTATTCTTTTCCGCTGATGACGACGCCAGAGTGGAGGAGTGAGGAGCCTATTGCCCACAGAACTGTCGAGAACTTGCCAGGCTACATCGTACAGTCAGCGTCGTGCCATAGAGACCAGTTTCACCAAATAAATATAAAACAGGGTGGCAGATAACATACAGGCAGCAGATCATAGACATTGATCATGACTTCGGTCTTTTGCAGCGATAAAGTGTGTCGATGTCTCGAACCCGAATGACGCCCTTTGGAGGGTTTGTTGGGAGGCATGGTGGCGGTTAAGCTCCAGAAAGAGGGAAACGGTGGTGAAATGTGTAGAAAGAGAGCTATTAGGATTGAGAAGATGATGCCCAGAATCGGTTCAAGGGGTGGTATGTATCCGTTTCTAGGGTTTTGAGGAATGTAGGAGCTTGGATGGGTCTCAGACTGGGGTTTAGGCTTATCGGCCTAACTCGCGCTACCTTGCGTGATAATCAGGAAGGATCGGCGCGTATCAACTATGATCCGAGGGACCAAGATTAATCCGGACAGCGACCTATGGGGGTTCCCACACACGTCCTTCCCACTACCTCCCCCTCCTTCCCTCCCCCCAGTTAGCCCCTCCAACCGCCACCATAACACCACACACTACTTCTCCTGGTGCTTTGCGCATCGCTTCTTCTTCTATATTTCATCTTTTTACTCGATCTGCAGCAAGAACTGCAATCGTACACAAGAACCTGCTTAGCTGCACGGTTTACACTTCTCAATCAAGAACTTACGCAAAAAGTCGTAAGATGCCACCAAAGAAGGCCGCCGTGGAGGAGAAGGTCCTCTTGGGCCGACCTGGCAACAGCTTGAAGAGCGGAATCGTATGTTCGACCACTACCACCACCACCAGCCAGCCATCGCGATGATGAATAAAAAGTAACGTCGTTGACGAAAATCTCAGGTCGGCCTTGCCAACGTCGGAAAGTCCACGCTCTTCCAAGCTATCACCAAGTGCTCGCTCGGAAACCCCGCCGTATGTTGACTACACACCTGCCCCCGCACGTTGCTCTTGCTGATGGGACGTAGAACTTCCCATATGCCACCATCGACCCCGAGGAGGCGCGCGTCATTGTGCCCGATGAGAGATACGACTGGCTCTGCGAGAAATACAACCCCAAATCCCGCGTGCCTGCCAACCTGACAGTCTACGATATTGCTGGTCTGACCCGTGGTGCCTCCACCGGTGCCGGACTCGGAAACGCTTTCTTGTCGCATATCCGTGCCGTCGATGCCATCTTCCAGGTCGTTCGCTGCTTCGATGATGCCGAGATTATTCACGTCGAGGGTGATGTCAACCCCTGCAGAGATTTGGACATTATCAGCGAGGAGCTGCGCATCAAGGACATCGAGTTCACCGAGAAGGCGCTCGAGGCCATGAAGAAGCTTACCCGTCGTGGTGGCCAGAGTCTTGAGGTCAAGAAGCTCAAGGAGGAGGAGGCTACCATCGAGAAGGTCCTTGCCATGCTGAAGGATGGCAAGGATGTCCGCAAGGGCACCTGGACACCAAAAGAGGTATGTTGACCGCTTTTTATCTTCCCCCCCTTTATATGATGACAAATGGTCAAGAGACCAGATATATAACCCAGCTCGTCGAGGCACAACGTGCACCATGAGATAAGAAACATGTTCTGATTACAACATCTTCAATATTATATGATAATACATTAGCGTCTTGGATACTGACCAACAATACAGGTCGAGCACATCAACCCTCTGTTCCTGCTCAGCGCCAAGCCCGTCGTGTACTTGGTCAACCTCAGCGAGAAAGATTACATCCGCAAGAAGAACAAGCATCTCGGCAAGATCGCAGAGTGGCTGAAGGAGCACGCCGCTGGAGACCCAATTCTTCCCCTGTCCGTCTGCCTCGAGGAGCGTTTGACCCGCTTCGAGACTGAGGAGGAGGTCCAGGCTGAGCTGAAGTCTCTCGGCGTCGAGTCCGCCCTCCCCAAGATCGTCGTCACCATGCGCAAGGTCCTGAACCTCGGCAGCTTCTTCACGACTGGAACCGATGAGGTCCGCCAGTGGACTATCCGCAACGGCACCAAGGCACCTCAGGCGGCTGGTGTCATCCATGGTGATTTCGAGAAGACTTTCATCCAGGCCATTGTCTACAACTTTGAGAAACTCAAGGAGCTTGGTAGCGAGGCTGAGATTAAGGCAAAGGGACAGATTCAGACCAAGGGCAAGGACTACGTGGTTAACGATGGTGACATCCTTTTGATCAAGGCTGGAGCCGCAAAGAGCTAAATCTACATATCTTAATAAATCTTAATAAAGAAGATATGTTGTGGTTGCATGCCTTTTGACGCTATGTCTTTTGTATAGCTGAGGCAGGGTTGGGTTGGGTTGGCGTTGGCGGAAATGAACCCAATCACTCACATAGAATGAGGGTATTCCGTAGAATCTACGGATAAGCAGCCATAATACAAAGCGTATGCCGTAAACTGTGAGGCAATGAACTTAATAAATCAATGTGTGGGTCTGGTGGATTGTGTGATATATTTTCTCGTGTGACTATACAGTATTCAATGCTATTCCATAAATCAATTGTTTTAAAACAAAGACTGGATTTTTATTAATCTAGCATCAGTGAAGGACACATACTCACCCAAAAACCAAAATATGAAGCCTATTTAGCTTCATTTAGCACTGTTTAGCCCATATTATAGCTTTCTCATACGTTTTGGTTTCGTCGCTTGGAGCTAAGGTACCACGTTTTGATAAATTCGAAAAAGGCCTTGCCCCGCCAGACCCAAATTCCCTAGCGCACACGTTCATAAAGCACCAGCTGCATCCATCGCCTTCTCCCACCTCACCCCCACCCAACTCAACAAACCTACAAACTTGCATCATTACCCGTCGCAAAAATGGTGAGTTCACCCAATCCCTGTGTACAGTTCAGCAGACCCCTCTAACCGTGATCCAGGCGACTCAAACAACCAAGCAGCGCCTCGCGCTGTCCATCATTGACTTCCTCAACACCTCCCTCAAAGATGGCACCCTCACCGCCGACGACGCCGAGTCCATCGAGATCGCCACGAACTGCATCTCCGAGGCTTTCAACGTGACGCCCTCTGGACCATCGACCGAGTCCCAGTCGCTCCTCCAGGTATATAGCGTCTACGAGAACCTGCGCTCCAAGACAGCCGCCTCCTCCTCCGCCTCGGCTGCCGCCCCTGCACCCTCCGCAGCCGCCCCAACCGACGAGGAGAAGAAGCGGGCTGAGTCGCTCAAGAGCCGCGGCAACTCCGCCATGGCGACCAAGGACTACGCCTCCGCCATCGACCTGTACACCCAAGCCCTCGCGCTCGTCCCAGGAAACCCAATCTTCCTCTCCAACCGCGCAGCCGCCTACTCGGCATCCAAGGACCACGAGTCCGCGCGTGCCGACGCAGAGGCGTCCGTCGCTGCGGACCCAAAGTACACGAAGGCGTGGTCGCGGCTCGGACTAGCGCGCTTCGCCCTCGGCGACGCCAAGGGCAGCATGGAGGCGTATGAGAAGGGCATCGAGTATGAAGGGAACGGAGGAAGCGAGGCAATGAGGAGGGGATTTGAGACGGCGAAGAGGAAGTCTGAGCAGGAGGCTCTGACCAGCGGCGGGGATGATGATGAGCTGCCAAGTGCGCGGGGTCTTGGTGGTGCGGGCGGTGCTGGGGGAATGCCGGATTTGAGCTCGTTGGCGGGGATGTTCGGGGGTGGTGCAGGCGGAGCAGGAGGGATGCCGGATTTGAGCAGCATCATGAGCAACCCAATGTTTGCGTCGATGGCGCAGAACCTGATGAGCAACCCGGACATGATGAACAACCTGATGAGCAACCCGCAACTACGGGACATGGCGAGCCGATTCGGTGGTGGTGGTGGCGGGGGAGAGGGTGCCGGAACCCCAGATTTGGCAAGCTTGATGCAGGATCCCAGCATTGCCGAGATGTAAGTTTTTCCTTCCGTGCTCAGGTTGGAAGATTGACGCTAATACATGTCCCTAGGGCGAGGAATATGATGGGCGGTGCTGGTCGTGGCGCTGGTGGCGCTGGACGCGGAGCTGGAAACTAAGTTTGAAGGGCTGCGACTGGAGTATGAGGATATGATGCCACGACTTTCGTTTGGGTACAACATAAAGATTGGATAGAGAAATACTTTAATGTCCCATAAGTGCCAGGCTGAATTTGCAAAGTGAACGTCTGTGGATTGCGCTGCAAGTCTTGGGCAGCCTTTACGTGTATAGCTTGAACTAATTTGTGCGAGGGAGCTTCAGTTGAACCCCCCAATGAGCTATCAATTGAGTCTTTGGCCTCGCGAAGGTAGAGTTGGAGCTTTGATATTCCCAATTTTGAGTCCTCGCCACGTTCACCTCGGCCCACATATTCACCACACAACATATTTCTTAAAAGTCTCGAGGAATACAAACGGACAGTACCAAATCTAATGATGCACCAACGAGATAGATAACTACTGAAACTAAACTTTTCCTTAACCTAAAGACTACAAAGCTGATGCTCACCTGCGCTTCGCCGCCAGTCCATTTATACCTCTAAAACCTCTAAAAATGTTCTCCGACGCAGCTTGTATAGACCGACAAATGTTGCCAATGGGATAAAAATGCCTTTTTCAAACCGAGATATGAAATTGAAACTCTTCCCTTCAGATGCCCATATGAACCTGCTCCGATTTCGCCACCCTTTTCGCCGTTCGTCCGCCCCCCTAAGATATCCCACGAGGGCAATCATGCTGCGTCGAAAGATTTCTGTGCGGGTGACCATGAGATTACAGAAATCTGTCGGCAGGTATAGTGGAGAGACCCATCGGCGGAGCCCCGGTATCAGCAGAATCGTCGCGCGATTTACTTTGCACCGACAAAGCGGAGCTGCGACTGACCTTGCTTCTAAGCCTCCAATGACGACCGCGTCGGCAAGGCCTCCCGCGACTTCAACTGTCCGAATGACAAGGCGGTGGATCACTTGGGGCTGTCACGCGTCGATGATTCTATTTTTATATTAGCATATCATTAACACAAGGTTACAAACGAAGATGTCGTACTGCCTGGACATAGGGGGCAAATGATAGTTGTATCTCACCAGAGCTGTTTATTCCACTCCCAGACGCCTCAGTCTTGTTCGAGGGACCATTTACATAGCTCGCTGGATCGCTCTTCGTATGGTTTCGACGCCCATACCGAGAGAGTGGGCGCTTGGCACTTGATCTTCCTCCCTTGGGCTCATCTACTCCACTAGCATTTCCAGGCCTCTCGGACAGCGCATTCGTCTCGGCTGTTCCATGGAAACCGCTTGAGAAAACCATACTTTCGCCTTGGCTTTGCGTGTCGTGCAAGCTTCCACTGCCAAAAGTACCTCTTGATTCCGAACTTTGATTCTGTTCTTGTGTGGCAGTCCTCAAACGGACAGGCACAAACTCTGGACTGTCCGCCTTGAGTTTGGTTTTGTTCACCTTGGGCCCATCTGCTGAGGCTACTGAACAGTCCTTCTCAAAATGGTCTGTCTTTTGCAATGCTGCAGCAAGAGTCGTGGTTCCTTTTTGCTTTTGAACATCGTTTACAATGGTAGCGTCGGAATTTTTTGGGCTCCCAGGAGACGAAAGACTCTCTCCTGGTTTCACAAAAAGTTGCTTCGACCACAGGTCAGTGTACTTGCCCTTTGCATGGATAAGCTCGTCGTGAGAGCCGTTCTCGATAATTTCTCCGTCTTTGATAACCAAAATGCGATCTGCTCTCATTATCGTGGAAAGGCGATGGGCGACGATAAAAGTGGTTCGCCCTCTGCATAGTTCCCTAAATGCGTTTTGTATTAACTGCTCGGTAGCACTGTCAACTGCGCTAGTTGCTTCATCAAGAACTATTATCTCTGGACGTTTTAGAATTGCTCGAGCAATGGCGATGCGTTGCTTCTCGCCACCAGAAAGTCGTACTCCGTGACTGCCAACAACCGATTGATAACCGTCAGGAAACGACAAGATTTTATCGTGGAGAGCAGCTGCTTTGCAGGCTTCATGGACGTCTTCAATGCTGGATCCCAGTCTGGCATAACGTATATTGTTCAGGATGGACTCGTTGAAAAGGTCTGGGTCCTGGGGTACGACTCCAATTTTGTCTCTAAGACTTCTTACGGTCACATCCCGGATGTCTTGCCCGTCAATCTTTATGCTGCCATCAGTAACGTCGTAAAATCGGTCGAGAAGCTTGAGTATCGTTGATTTTCCACTTCCAGTTTCGCCTACGAGAGCAATTGTTGAGCCGCCGGGAACGGAAAAGTTGATGTCTCTAAGGGTCTCCTTTCGAGCCTCATAGTGGAAGTGTACATCTTCAAAAACCACTTCGCCTTTTTTGAAAACCAATGGCTGTGCATCCTCTCTGTCCACGACAGTAGGTTTGGCTCGAAATAGTTCCAGCAAGTGCTCGGCATCCATCAGGGACTCGGATATTTTCTTGTAGGCGTTACTGAAAAATGTCAGAGGCCCCCTGAGCTGTGCCCAGTAGGTCAAAAGAATGACAAAATCTCCAGGTGATCTCTCATTGCGCATAACTTGGTATATAGCAAGGAAGCATGCACCGACGAGACCGACTGTAAGGGCGAAGATTTGAACAGCGCCGACAAGAAATATCCCTAACCGGTAGTCCTTCTCCCGTCGCAGCCGATTCTTCACATTCGAGGAGTACCGGTTTTCTTCGTACGGGATGTTATTGAAGTAACTGGCCGTTCGCCAATTGTCGATGCTTGTGTAAACTGATAGCCACTCTTTCCGGTAGCTTTTCATGTACTGCCTACGTTTGTTGGTCGCCAGTGACACTAGCTTCGTAGTGCAGTACACAAATACGACACTTGTAACAGCTAGAATGAGTCCCATGTATGGACCGAAGAGGTAGTTCAAGTATATGCAAACAGCGGAGAGATCAATCATCATGGGCATAACCTCAAAAATCATCATTTCTACGAGCTTGGTGACCGACTGTCCTTGGTTAACGGCGCGGTGAATGTCTGCGGAGTCTTTGCCCTCGTGGAAATCCGACGACAAGCTCATTACGTGTTGATGAGATGCAGTACTCAGTGACTGTTCGGCGTATTGTTCAAGAGGTCGCCATAACCAAAACTGCACCCAGCCAATGCAGCTACCAGAATTCAAAAATGTCAGGGAAGCATATACTGTCGCTGCAAACCACGGAGAATTTCCTACAAAAGTTAGAAATGTCAGGAATCTGGAATAGGTGCCTACCTTTGACAAGAGCGTCGGTGACCACACCCAGCTGTCGTGGTATCATAATGTTTAGAAAATTGCCCGTCAAAAGACAGGCTCCTACTGCAACAGCGCGAAGTTGCATGGCTCTATCATGGACTGGCCACACGTGTGGAATAAAAATCTTGGAGGAGTTAGCAATTGCAGTGTAATCGTATTTCCAGTGCACTATACCGAAAAGCCTTTCACATATGCCCACCAGTTTCCGTCGGTTTCCAATCGTTTCTGTACTCGTTCCTGGGCTTTATTGCGTCGCTTGGAATAGATATCATTTTCGTCAGAGTCTGACGAACTGCCATCCTTGGAATTATCGTTTGCAGTTTCTGAAGAGTTTGTCGTAGCCCCATAGCTGGCACCATTCCCATTTGCAGTCCCGTTAGTTTTGGAGCTATGGGGAAGCAGAGACTGGCACTCTTCATCGTGTTCGTCGAAACTTTTGCGGTTTCGAAGCGTCGCGTAGAACGACAGCAATATTACCAGCGTACATATCCGCACACCTTGAATGGACAATGAAATCAAGTCGAACAATCCATACTTGCGAATGAAGATATTGGAAAGAATGAAAAGCGCGATTTCAGATAGAGCAGCTATCGCTGATGCTCCATAGTGTGGATACCACACCGGCAACTCAAACTCCAGAAGCGCCGAAGTCAGAATCAACCATGTCAGAAAGGATGAGACGAGGTAAACCTGTCAAAGTCAGTATAAATTTGAAGGTAATAGACGTCGATGATTTACTGTCTCGTGCTGCTCTGCGGCCCATGGCCTATCAACGAGCATCCGAATTAAGATATTGACGGAATTGGCAGCCTATAGGTCAGAGTTAGCATGCCTATCGTTTGGTTGTTGCTCGCAAAAAACCATTCTCCGTGTCAACAGGGCAAGGGAGGCTTACATATGTTCCTACAACCATAACCATAAGTGACAGAAGGGCTCGTCGTTTGTCATATTGTTCGCTTTTCTTCTTGGCAGCTGCAGGTGTCGTGCAAAACCCAAGCGTAGACGTAAATATGAAATACAGGAGCGATAGTGCTGGGTAGCCGTAGTGTATGACTCCCATAGCCAGAGTGGCCTGTTGGAATGATTTTAGCATGTAGTCAACAATAAAAAGCATCATATTTGGTGGCTGGAAGATTTACCTGATGCGGACGTGTTGAATCCATTTCAATTGGGCTGCCAAACGCCAGCGGTATGAGTGGTTTTCCTGCTATTGATTGAGACGGTTGGGACTAGCGGGCTTCCTGTAAGAGTGCTGTTATAGAGTCAATTCATGAGTTGATGAAAGAGGTCTCCTTGCGGACGAAGGGAGATAGTAGAGGTTGAGGAAGATAAAGACGAAAGAAAAATCTGTGGCGCGTTGTCTCAGTGGGTTGGTTACACGGAGGAAGGAACGTATGGATGTTGTGCCTGCAACCTTGGCGGATATTCCCCTCCTGAGGCGAGTGAGACTGCCTGTTATATGCGAGCTACCCACAATTTATTATACTCGGGCGTACTATCCTCTTTTCAACCTTTGTCGTTTTATTGCGTGGCGTGGATTTTGACAATGGGGAATTCTCGAGTGATAAATCCTTGTTGAGATCTATGGCCTCGTTGGTGGCCAGTGGCTGTGTGAGAAGAGAGACGCCGAACAATGGCAATGATGTCCGAAACCAACGTTGATGCACGACTATTAGTTGAGTCACATTCCAACTCGTCCTTAATCCCTTAGAAAAATAAACACTAAAGAAGAGTACTAATTGGGTTTGCTATAGTCGATCTTGAAAATAGATGAGCCATACGTTGTTGGACTCGTCAGCCTTGTTGCATAAGCCGCAGCCTCGTGACACATTATTACCTAGTGGGATGGATTCCAGCTTACCATATCCCGATATGATTATCTCGCCATGTTTGATTTAGTGGTGCCACCCAGGAGTCTCAGGGCGGAGGATTTACCGCTGAAACCACCAACCAAAACCTACGCTGGTAAATGCTCAAGCAATGGAGAGAGATACCCTGCTCTGTTCTTGTCTGCAGTTTGATTTCGAGCATACAGTCATAATCCGTTAAGTCGATAGCTCGGGTCCCGTAAATACCATCGAGATAGGGTAAATATCGAGATATCGAACGTATTTTGGTAGTGGACAGGGGGGTTGAGGCCAGCAAAACGTATCGACGTAACGTGAATCGAGTATCGACTTAACGCGTCATGACTGTATAGGATATACCCGTATTCTTTCGGCCACAAGTCATCCCCAGCCCATTGTGACCCGGCTTGCAGATCAGAACGACGGCATCAAGCCAATCGAGTCCCCCCTGAGATTATACACCAAGGATTCGCAAATCGGCTCTTTACCTTTCTTGCTCGAGATTCTAGGCACCCTTCACGCGCTAAAATACAGAGACAGTCACAGCGTATTTGTGCTACAGATCTGGCATGACGATCGGTGTCGTCGCACGATCTAGACTTGGTAACACTAGGGACAAGGCGGCGTTGGTCGTCGTCGTTTCCTGCTGTTGCCCGGGCCGGCACAACCCCGATAATTCTGGAAACTCTAGTGGCCAACAGCGCCCGATTAACAAAAGCAATTACGCCTGTTGGAATGCCCGCAATTAGTCGTATCATTCGTCCCACTTTAAACACGGCTCGAGGCTAGCAATCATGTGATACCACAATAGAGGGTTTCAGCTAGGAGAACATAACATGATTACATACCGTTAGCAGTAAGATCTACACCACCCCCTCCCTATAGCCCCCCTATAATACCCCCATGCTAGCGGGCGCCACCTTGCTGGCGCCAAACCCAAAGCATATGTAAGTATGTCCTCACGTCTACATAAGGTCATACCTAGACGTGCCTACATGTAGATTAGTGTATAAAATTAGACCTTAGCAGAGGCTCTACTCTAATGACATAAGATAATATATATAGGGCAAAAACTCGATATACCCAGTAAGAAAACTCCATCTACCCAGTTGGCCGCTAACCCTCCTTTGGAAAGATTAACGTGCCAATGACAGGCGTACTCTCATTTGAGAGTATGTGCTCTCATATGCGTCATACTGACATTCGTTGCACTCAGTTTGCTATCAAACTCAAGAGCAAACTTAGAAATCTCCTCCTCAAACCTACAAGTCACTATACATATTTTGGCTTGTCACACCAACAACAAGAGCAATACTACTCAACAATTGCTACAACCCTCTATGATGGTCCCCCTTTCTTCTCGAGTTGCCGTTCGTAGTGACGATTGTCAATCTTCTGAGCCAATTCAATCATCTCTCTAAGGTCATCTTCATTACACGTCATTGCTCCTTAGTTACTGGGCCGATATGACCACATAGCATATCTCTACAACCCTCTATGATTCATTACATGACATCACTCCTTAGTTACTGGGCTAATACTACACATGACATATCTCTATCAACTAGAGGCCTAGGAACATGAATGATAGCTCCAAAAGCTTCTACAACCCTCTATGATTCATTACACGTCATCGCTCCTTAGTTACCCACAAGATTGGTTAAGTTATGACATAATTTGTCTATAGGGGTACTCTGACCTTGGACCTCCTTTCACTTCCTATAGGCTAGGAACTTAGGAGATGGTTCTATGGGATTCTCTTACGTCGACTACAGTTACCAAGCCTGGTTAGTCATGGAAAGTCTTGGAAAATGAGAGAACTACACTCCTTTATCATAATAGGATTGCCCTTTCCTTAAGAAAGGGCAAGCAGACAATACAGTAAATCGACTATCACATACTTCCACGTCTTTTCCAAGCTTCCAAGCATTGATCTTGTTACTCCTTGTTTCTGAAAAGTCAGTGAGGTGCTAACCTCTTGACTTATCCCTGAGTTCTGAGACTCAACATTTGTTACAACTTGTCTAAACCACTCCACTACATCATACACCTGATTGCTGTGTTGTGGAATAGTCTAAGCTACGACCCTTTGGCTCTTTTTCCTAAGACAGTGTGTTGTCTTAGTAAAATCATCCCTTCCTTGGGTGGCTAGATTCTCACATCTGGTGCACCCACCATTACAATATGGCCTTTTTGAAGCAATTTAGCTGGCAATATACCAGCTCAATTGCACGGTAAGTCAGTGGTCAATTGAGACCCCAAAACCTCCTCCCCCTTCCCTTCCTCCCCTCCACCACAGAACCCCACTGACACCTCCCAGGCTCCCTCCCTCCTCCAACCCCCTCGAAACCCCCCTCGGAAGCCCTCGCACGAGGCAAAAACTCCCCTGCCTCCCCTGCCCCTGCCCCTGCCTCCTATGATGGCCTCGCTAGCTGAACTTGCTGCCCCTGTCGACAGTAGCGAGTTCCTCGACTTGGACGCTTGGTCCCGCGCCCTGGATGACTGGGCCGTCAATGAGTAGTTCTCCTGGCAGCTCCAGAAGAGGGACAAAGACGGGGCAACCGCCGTTTGTGCCTGGCGTCCTCAAGGATGCCGGGCTAGCCAGGATCACGGAGGACTTCTGCCACTTGGGGCAGTCGTTGCAGCTGTGCTGGACTTGGTCCGCACACGCTGAATGTAAGAACACAGGGCACCCAGCTCACAGTAATAGCATATGAGAGTGCGAGTCGGAGGCTAAACGGATGCTATCCTATAGGTCTACTACGAAGGATACAAAAAAGATGAAGGGGGAACCCCGTGTGTCAATTCCCTTAAGTACCCGAAACCCATCCGACTCGGTTAGCCCACCCCAATGATCACACGTGACCAGGGGGAACCTCATGAGTCATTTACCTCAAGTACCCGAAACCCATCTGACTCAGTTAGCCCGCCCAAATGATCACACGTGATCCGCAGCTACTCAGAGTCTGCTACTTAGAGTGAGGGACAAGAAGGCATCCTTACATGCTGCGGCACCTGTGGCGAGCCTGGGCATAATTCCAGGACTTGCCGCAGGCCTAATAATTGGCCCGTTCTCATATGAGAACAGGGGGGTATACGGGGGGGTTTACAGCCCGTTCTCATATGAGAACGGGGGGAGTTTCTAGATTGGGCTTGGGTGGGTCACGTGGGATGGAACTGGGTATATAGAATTTATTTTATTGTTTTACTGGGTATATGGAGTTTTTGCCCATATATATATTATCTATATACTCTATATACTAACTATAGCTACGAATAATGTGAATTAGGGCTAAGTAACTAGCCCTAGCAACTTCCTTCCTCCCTCTCTAAGCCTACTTAGTAATGCATATGCTAATATTAACATTGTTAACGACATTAATATTAGCAACAGTCTGCCTCTTATAGCAAGACTAAGCCATCACCTACCTACCAAGTCTCTCTAGACTCGTCTTAATACTAAGACAAGGATTTTAGTTATTAGAGACGTAACAGTTTAGCCCTAGATCTCCTAGAAGGCATTCTAGAAGAGGATCTAGAATGACCTCTAGAAGGAGACAGGCTAGGATTACATTAGTGTAGCCTGTCCTGTTACTAATATTATTAAGAGATGGAAATAGAAGCTAGTAGTAGTAGGGAGTAGGGAGGAGGATAGCTCCCTAGAGTATAACATCATTATTAATGACTAGATTAATTAATAATGATGCTAAAGTTCTTTAGTTGTAGAATAGAGCTTAAGGGCCTGTAGACATAGACATAGAGAACTCCCTTTCCCTTGGCTAGGATTTAACCTATGTATAGTATAAAAAGGACTGGCGTATTACCACCCCCTCCTTAAAGCTCTAGAAAGTAATCACTCTCTCTAACAACAACAACAACAACAATAATAATAGCAGCAAGGGCAGTAGCGATGCTACCTCTCTTCCTCCTCCCTCTCCTCTTATAGAGAATGACGCCTCCTAATCCAAAACCCTAGATATATCTATAATGCTACTTCCTATCTAATAGGATGTATAGAGGTTTCTTACATAAGGTTGACTTAACAGAGGAGGCAGGGGACTAAACACAAAGGCTTTCTTAGTAACATGTTATATTATTGTAAAGAATACTATATTGAGTTGAGCACAAAGATCCTATCTAAGGAAATACTATCTACTTATATAGTGGTGTCATGCTAAAGGGAATAGTTAGAATAGTAGACTTCCTTACTATTCCTGCTATTCTCTTATGTGTAGGGAATAGTAGGAATAGTAGACTCCCTTACTATTTCTGCTATTCCTGCTATTCCATCATGTACATGCCCTAGGGAATAGTTAGAATAGCAAACTCTCTAGCTATTCCTACTATTCCTGCTATTCTGTCACGTTACTATAGTCTAGCCCTACTAGCCCTATAACCATGACATTACGTTACAGTAGCTGTAAGAATATCCTCCTCTTCCTAGCGTTGTTGCTAGTCCTAAATGCAGACATCCTAATCCTAGTCCTAATCCTAGTCCTAAGTGTCCTAAATTAAATTAGGCTTCTAGACTAGCTTCTGTTAATTCGTCTCTGTATATTCTATAAAAGCAAATAATATAGAGGAAAGCTAAGAGCAAATTGAAGTATGCTCTTAGCTTAAGGGACTAGAAAATGGGTTAGCTAAGGTCCTATAACTGTTAAGGGCAAAGGAGGGAATAGGGATAGAAGAACAAGAAAGGGAGGAACTAGATTAGAGGTAGCAGAATGAAGGAGAAGAAGAGGGAGTTTAATTTAAATACTCCTCTAGTTAGTAGAGGAGATCTAAACTTCTAACTTGTCTAGTTCCTACATAGACAAGTGTAGCAATTAGTAAGCAGCATAGCAACGGCAAAGTATGCTGTAACTAGCTGCCTCTTAGCCTTTAGTCCCTTGCTAAAGGCTATATAGGTCCAAAGGACTTAAACATGCCTAAAGGCATGCTTAACAGCAATCTAGACAGAAGAGAGTCTTTAGTTGAAGGCTCTCTTGTTAGGCAATAGGAGATGGCAGCTAATATAGTGTGTCTATAGTAGCATCACCCTATAAGCTGCCTAATTGTAGAATTGCTATATACAACAAGTAAAGGGTGATTTCTAATTAGGTTCTAAAGAGGGGTCTCTAATTTAGAGACCTGCTACACCTTCTAGTCATTTACTAGTCTAACAATAGACTAGTAAGGGACTAGACGATAGTGTTAGGTCCTATAATGGCTGGCCACTCTAGCCATGCTGTTAAGCATAGCTAGAGTAGACAGCAGAACCCCTAAAAGGTCCCATCTACAAAACCCTAGATCCTCTCCCCTCCTCCTTACACCTTAAAAAGCTTAACATAAACTGTCTACTGTCTAGGATATACAATCCTTATAAGGACAATGTAGAGGGCTGTTTTAAGGGAGGGGCAAACTCTATGTTGCTCATTAATCTAGCAGATCTCGTCACATGTAAAGCTTGTAGATAGTTAGTAATGTGATATAATAAAGGGAGGGGGGGACTTACTAGAGGATTTGTTCAGTATTGGCTCGGCCCTAAGAATTAAGGCCAAACTTAAACTGCTTATATTCATAAGTAGTTAGTGCCATCACCCTTCTCTAGCACTGTTGTTAGTAGTAGTACACTGCTATAGCAACAGCTGTAAAGGCAATGATATATCCTCTATAAGGAAGGCTGGTGAGAGTAAGGAGGCTAGGTAGTATTCGTAGTTGTAGTAATAATGCAGTAAAACCCTGATATAAGGATACCATTAGGGCCATAATAAAATAAGGATAAACTGGGGTATCCTTATTGTTACGATATCAAGTGCGCCTTGCAGCTCGAGTGAGGGTTCAGGGGTGTGGGGAGCTTTCTGGGGTTGGAGCGAAGTTTTCAGTTGTGGAGTGAATTCTCAGAACTGGTCTCGCTAACGTAAGTCGTGGCGTAACGCGGGGGATGGCGTAACGCGGGGAATTCACCCCGCCGACTTCTGATAACTGTGAATAACTCAACAATGGTTCGCTGTAAAAGCCTGGGTGTTGCTGAGCGTGAAACTTTAATAGCCCAGGCAGTATTAGACGTCCAATCTAAGAAGTATAAGAGTGCATATCACGCTGAGAAAGTGCTGGGGCTGCAGAAGAGTTCAGTGACGCGACGCGTCAATGGAGGTTTGACACGCTCCCAAGCCCGCCAGAAACAGTAGAATTTATCAGGCGCGCAAGAACAGATACTTCTAAAGTGGATTAAAAACCTAACAATCAGCGGCTATTCTCCAGGGCATCGGTTGTTGAAGGAAATAGCTGAAGAACTCCGGTCGCACCGGTCACTCAATTTTGACGACGCGACGCCAAACTTACTTCTACCCCAACCACGATTTTCCCTGGTCGTGACTGGGTACCATGATTCATACAACGACATCCCCTCCATCTGCGCAGATGCACTCGACCATCGAAACCCATTCCTGACGGCCAGGATGTGCTTGATGCTTCGTACGAAGCGGTGAATCAAGTATAATCCAAGTAGATTCCATTGTCCCAATCGAAAATCCGGATTCATCCATGTTATATGTGTTCTCTTGCGTGATTCCAAACTCTTGAACCACCTTGGTGTATGCGTTAAACCATGCCGTAAGCACTGGTTTTGTTGCACCATCCATGTGTACAGTTTCGATCCGTCGCCCAATAGCGACCTGTACATCCTCCCACCCCTCGGGATCTTTAAGGGCAAGAACGTTCTCCAATCATGGATTCCGCCTGCAGTCATCGACCAGTGGTTCTTCTCTGCGAATACGAAAGGCTGGACAAGCAACCTCCATGGGTTGGAGTGGTTAAAACGCATCTTCGAGCCAACAACACGTACAAAAGCAGATGGTCAGCACCGGCTTCTTATATGTGATGGCCACGACTCACACATTAGCGGGAGTTTCATTGCGCATTGCATGCAGAACCATATTGTATTACTGATACTTCCCCCTCATACATCGCACTTACTACAACCACTGGATGTTGCGATATTCGGCCCGCTAAAAAAGCGTCTGACAGCAGCGCTCTCCCCACTCAACCAAGCGCAACTTGCGCGCATACAGAAGTATGAATGGATGGAGGCATACATCCAGGCACGGCTTGATGTATGCAACCATCAGAACATTGAGTCAGCATACTGTGGCGCTGGCTTGTTTCCTTTTAATCCCCAGCGAGCATTGCGTATGCTGCTCAATGCTGAACCATCAGTCGAGGCTGACCGACCAAAAACACCACATCAGTATGATATTTTTGACCGAGTCTTTATCAACAGCTCCCCCCCAGATGGGATGACCTTACGCTCTGCAAATGTGCTTCTTACAACTACGATTAATAGTGGTGGGGTGCTGTCAACACCAGTGCGGACGTACATCCAAAAACTCACAGTTGCGTCAGAGCAACTTCGAGCACGCAGCATTGTCCACCAACTCGATGCCAACAACCTGCGATCAGTTATAAAGCAACGTACGGTACGTACGAAGGGGAAAAGGGTTATTCTGAAGGGTCACTTTCATGTTTCTATGCAAGAGTTGTGTGATGCGGTGATGGAGGCGGAAAAGGTGACACATAACCCAAGTAAGAAAAAGCGCAAAACAAAGGATAAGAACGCCTCCTCAGACATTGAAATTGACGAGTATATTGAGGAAGAAGCAGGGGAACAATCTAAGAGTGACGGTGGATCATGTATTATCGTTGATTGTAGTTAAATTTACAGATTTGTTGTGTTCTCTTCAAATTTCCACCGCGTTACGCCATCCCCCGCGTTACGCCACGACTTACGTTAAAGAGAATCCACTCCACAACAACATAGCTGTATATAGATCGAGTCACTGCTCGAGTGCTCCTCTTCTCTTTCCTTTCTTCTCTAGATTGAGTTTAATTCATAATACCCAACTGGCACCCTATGCCTTGGTGAACCGTGACACTTATCTTAGGGGTCATGAGTTTCAAGACGTATTTTCACAAGTATTGTTCTATTTACATAAAAAAAGTTATCTAGAGTGCTCTGGTTCTTTTTTGAGACTTTTAACATCAAAAGCTCTCTTGTAAGTCTATCTAACACCTTAATATTGTGTGATCTGTCCTCCCTAGCTATCTCAAATCATTATAGAGTCTTAAGAGCACAAATAGCCTTAGATATAGAGATAGGAGGCTCTAT